TGGTGTCCACCAGCGGATACGGGGGTTACCACCACGACTAGCCCCAGCTACCCTGTGGCCGCAGCTCACAACAGCCGCCTCAACAACAGCAGAGCGGAACAAGGCCCATTCGGACTCAATGTCCCCTACTGCCCTCGGGACGCGATCGAAACTCTGCCGGAGGTGGTGGTCAGTTGACAACTCTGCTCCTCTCTTTACCCAAGTGTCCAAAACATACGGCCGCAGGTCTGATGATACGACTACAAAGTCGATCATAGACCAGCGACCTGGGGTGTCCTGGTGCCATGTGCACCTGTGGACATCCATATGTTTGAATATGGTGTTAGTTATGGCCAAGCTGTGACTAGCACAGAAGTCCAATAACTGACCACCACTCGGGTTCAGATCGGGCAGGCCGTTCCTCCCCACCACACCCCTCCAGGTCACGCTGTCATTGCTCACGTGAGTGTTGAAGTCTCCCAATAAGACAATGGAGTCCCCTTTCGGGGCACTTTCCAGCACCCGTCCCAAGGACTCCAAAAAGGGCGGGTAGTCTGAACTGCGGTTAGGTGCATAAGCAACGACAACAGTCAGAACCCGATCCCCAACCCGGAGGCGCAGGGACGCAACCCTTTCGTCCACCGGGGTAAACCCCAACATACAGGCAGAGAGCCTGGGGGCGACCAAAAAGCCCACCCCGGCCCTCCACCTCTCCCCCGGAGCAACTCCAGCAAAGAGGAAAGACCAGCCCCTCTCAAGGACTTGGGTTCTGGAGCTGACGCTATGTGTCGAGGTGAGGCCGACTATATCTAGCCGGTATCACTCAACCTCTTCCACAAGCTCCCGCTCCTTCCCTGCCAGAGAGGTGACGTTCCATGTTCCAAAAACCAGTTTCTGTAACCAAGGATCGGACCGCCAAGGCCCCCGCCTTGGTCTGCTGCCCAATCCACAATGCACCGGATCCCACTGACTCTTCCTGCAGGGATAGACAAACCCATGTAGCCGGTTCGGGCTGGGCCCGGCCGGGCCCCATGGGCTAAGGCCCGGCCACCAGGCACTCGCCCACAGGCCCCAGTATCCCTCCGGGCCGGGTACACAAGTTCTTGTTCGTAATATTCATTGGGATCTTCTGAATAAGTAATAGTAATAATAAAGAGTAAATTAGCAGTATCTATGAAATGAAAATGAGTTGAGAAGTAAGATATGCTGAGTTGAATAAAAATGAAGACTATTGTGTGATGAGTTTTTGTACTTGAATGTAATTTTAAATGTAATATGGATTTAAAGGTTGTAGAGCAGAGTAAAATGATGACATACCGTTGTAGCAGCAAAAAGAGTGAATCTAAAAGTATAAAGTGCATTGTGAATGTAGGATTGATTGCAGATGAATTGATATGAGGTTTGTAAAAATGTTACCTACGTGATGTGTTGTCCAGGTGGTCCAGAGGGTCCAGACAGTTGAGCAAAGGTGACATGACAGGAGGTGGTCAGAGCTGAGGCCTGCTGATTGAGCCATGATCCTTGTGTGAAAAATGAAGATGGATAGAAGGGTTACATATGACACTGGTATGAATGATGATGCCCAAAAGATATTCTTAATAACTGGTAAGAGTTTTGATGATTAATTGCAATGAATAACAGCAAAGCCAAGTGAAATTTGGATGAGGAGCATTGTACTAGATTTGGAGAAATGTGAGTTTTATTGAGAAGAAGTGATGTGAAACACAGGTGGTTGGTTTGTATGTTTTGTAGGGCTTGGAGGGTAGACTTAACTGAGATGAAAATGCATGTATTATGTAAAATATTTTTGCTAAATGAAATCTCTCTGTGGCACTTTGTGTTTGTGTAAGAGTAAAAGATGTGAAGATAAAAGAAATCCTCTTACTGCTGTGCAGACAGTCACGGTCCTGACGCAGTTGAGTGCGATGTTGAGAAACAGCCGTCTCCACCTGTGAGAAGAAATAAAGCAAATTTGAGTGTTTGTAGGTGTTGTAAATGTTTGAGCTACAGTGATCAATGTAAAAAATGAGCCTTAGAGTGTGTTTTATTGTTAAATATTGAAGTGGTTGAGTCGTGGCTCCATACAGGTGATTTGCATTAAAAGAAGACACAAGCACATGTAGTGACAGACTCTGTAGGCTGAGATGAGGGAGGGTGGGTATTCTGCCTGACATTTGAGCTGTTTCCCATGCAAGTACATATGCAATGGATTGTGAAAGTGTTAAGAGTGGGTCTTTGAGGAAGATGTTCCATAGTGCAGTGGTGTAAGGTAGAAACCCTGCAAGCATAATGTCCCTGGTTTGATCGGCACAAGGTGTTTTTGTTGTATATGTTGCTCCATGAGCTGTTAAGAGTGAGAAAGACTGAAGAGCTGACAGAGGAAATAAGAGGCGTTAACATGCTGTTCCCACACATGTAAAGTGGACTGATGCACAAGCAAAAATACAGTGTGTTTTCTGCAAAGCCTTATCTCTCAAGTGTGAGAAAATATAATGTTTATTTTTTAAGTCTATCTTCTGTCCAGGCTGCTGAATGAAGAGAGAAAAGGGGCCAGAGAAGACCTGAAGTGAACACAAACACAAATGTGGTGTAAAATTCCTCACCAAAGCACTGTAGACCGTCTTCCCCTCTGGACCTTCGTTTTGAGTTTTCTTTGCCTTTTCCTACATTTCCTATGAAGGATAACATGAGTTAAGATGTTTGAAAGTCAACAGAGAAGCTTGAGCATGTGGGGTGAACTGGGCTTGCTAAATTATATAAGTGTGAATAATTTGGTTAATTTGAATTTGAGAGTACTAAGTTGTGATTTCCTTTGACATGACTTGGAAGTTAATGGAAGAGCTACACAAAGACATTAAATGTTACTTATTTTGATAGTTTTTTAGTGATATTTCATTGAATTGAATTTACCCAAATGTTTGTAGCATGTGCTCCCATCCGTGCTCCCATCCGTGCTCCCTCCAAGCCAAGGTGAAAGGTCCGACTGCCAAACAGGAGGTGGGTGAATCCAATGTGATTTATACAAGGGGGAATCCGGATTGTACTAAGTGGGGTAGAGAACAGAGGGGTGTTTTGCTGCTGCCTGAAACAGCAGTTGTACAGGTTATATGTTGAAATGCCAGCCAATCATATGAACTTTTAAGGGCCGACACTGAGAGGAAAAACTGAGAGGATAGTGGACAGTGTCAAAAGCAACTCAGTGAGAGATAAAGACAGCATCTTTCTCAAGGCTTTTCAATCTTTCCTCTGTGCGTTGGTCCCGAAAAGTAGTAAAATCATTTGAGATTATTTTGAGATAACCCCTTAAGCCACTCTGTCAGAGATATAGAAATGATATTTCTTATAGCTTTTCAGTATTTCCTCTGGGTCTTGTTCTGAAAAGTAATAAGATCAAATCAACCAGTCAGTCTTCTAACAGCCTGAGCTATTTGGTCAGACAAACAAAGCTGTCTCTCTTGAAGCTTTTCACGCTTTCCTTTGCACACCTGCCTTCAAAACCCATAAGGTGTGTGCCCACCACCTCAGAACTTCAAAGCAGTCTTCTAACACTAAGCTATCTGCTCAGATAAGTTGCATGTTATTTCTTTCAGCTTTTCAGTATTTACTTTAGTTGTACTTGAAGTGGTCTCCTTGGGAATTGAACCCATGGTTTCAAAACTTGACAAGTGTTCTTTAACTCCTTGAGTTCTTCAATGGGGATCCCCACAGGTGCATTTCATAGAATCCTTTAATCTTTCAGCTGGATGTTGGAGGTCAAAATGCAATGAGCCTCATTAGGATCAAACCCAACACTTGAGAATATAATAACAGTCCATTGACAGCTTGAGCTGTAATGGTGCAGCGTCACTGTTCAGTTATTTAAAAGGGAATACGTTCTGTTTTTTATTTTTATTTTAACTGACAGAAAATTCACTGGAATCACAGCATGTGGAACAAACGATTTAATATAATTACAAAACTTCAAAAGCTGATTGACAATTTCAAAGGAATATCACATAATAAACACCATGCTGTATTTATATGAATAAGCACATTTGACAAACTATCTGGTGTTGTACAAAGTGAAATATATTCAAGTGTTAGAGTTGTTTTCTGTGTGTCTGGCTGATGTCTCAGCTGAGGAGTTGAATGAGCATAAGCAAGGCAGAAGATGTTTGAGGAGGCAGAGTGAATGTTTGGCAAATGACAAGATGATACTAAACCTGCATTGTTTCTTTCACTGAGCAGGACTCAGTGTCATCTCAGGAGTCCACGTTTTCTGCTGTGATTTAGTCTCATAAAAACCTGGTTCAGTCAAACATTTACACAAGATAGATAAAACTGACATGGTGAACAGTCCCAGTCCTACAACCACAAACAGTTTCCTGCAGCACGGGAAAGCCCTCCTGTTGCCTGTTGACAGTGAGACATGTGGCTCATCTTGGAGAAAGTGGCTTGTTGCTCAGGTCAGTAAAATGTTTCCCTGGAGAAGAGAAAAGGAAAACTGTAAGATGGATCACGAACAATAACCTGTCAATACGACTGATTCACTTCATATTTTGTTGCATCAGCTATCACCTAATCAAAGATTCCCTGAAGGCACGTCAATTTAACAATCTATTTTAGATTACACACAGTGCCGTACCTGTGTAAGCCAGCTTCTCTCCTCTGCTCAGTCCTCCTTCAAGTTGTCGATTAGCTCCTGCGTCTGTTGGGCCAGCCTCCTCCTCTCAGCCTGCTGCTTCATCAGGGCTGCCTCTGCTTTCTTGCTTTGGTAGATCTTCACCCCAGCGAACGCCAAACATAGCAGCAGTGTCTTCAGGGCCAGGATGTACAGGAGGACAGGGACATTGTCCAAAGCCTGAGGATAGACAGAGTTTATCTTTGAGGTGGACTTTGTGTTTTCTGCCTTCAGACATTTTTACAGAACAAAGTACATTTTTGTGAAGGACGCAGAGCAGCTCTGATTTCATAGTGGCCCAATTTTTCACGATGATGATGACAATATAACAAACTTGTGATTGCACAACAGGAAATGAAAGAAGGGGAAAGAAAGCTGTGGAAGAGCCAGGGATCCTCAAGAGGACCCCCCCCCCTTATCACCAGAAGCCTCAGCTCTCTAGATGGGAGGTGGGAGTTAATTTGGTCACAGAAAGGGGGGTAGTGTGTGAGAGAGAGAAACAGCTGCAAACCATGTGCATTCTGGGCTTGTAGTTGTAGCAGGTCATACACAAAACTTCATTAAAAAACTGATACTTTTCAAATTTCTGTACATACTAACCCAAATAAAAAAACGACAGGTTTCCTAATAAGCACATGACACCTGTATTCTCTTTCTAGGGTTAGTATTAACGCATTACCATATCACGTAGCCCCGAAGTGAATCAATGGCATTACCGGACAGTTAACGGCTTCTCAAACTTCGACACAGGAAGACGACATGACAGACACACGCAATATTTAACCGTAACTTTACCATGTACATTAATGCAAAGTTAGTTGAGACAGATAACGCGAGACGTGCCAGCTGTTATAACGTTAGCATTATGCTAGAGACGGTCGTGACTAATAATGGGAAAATACGAGCCAAAAATGAATCAGCAACTTTACAGTAATAACAAGGCATTCAATATGTCTCTTATTATATATTATTATTATATTCTAGCTTATTTACCTTCCAGTTGATCATTTTATCTTCTATCGTGTTGACTTCTCTTGTTCACAGCCAGATTACTATTAGTATTCCTTTTAGAAGGTGGGTCTTGTAGCGAAGGACCAATCAAAATGCAGCCTCTGTTCGACGTAATCTGTGTTGCGTTCAAACTCACAGGGAAAAACAACGTGCTGACTCATATATAACTGGTTGTCGTTTTCAGCAGACCTATTAGTGTTCTTCAGCCACTATGTGCGCACTTTAGAGTGATTTATGTGAGTGTACTTATTAAAGTTGCGATGAACAGTGTATTCGTCACTGTAGTTTCTTTAATGGTGTTTTCTCGTTCAAAAAACAATTGCAGACAAAGCAGAAAATTTGTTAAATTTTCGGGGAGTAACGAAGAACAGATTGATTACCTAACTTGACGTGTTTGCTAACTGTGACTTTAGCCACGTTTACTATTAAATAAACTGCTTCTGCTGCGTTTGAAATTACATGCATGTATAACATAGCTTAATACGAAGTACAAACAATTATTAAACATTGTCATAAAAACCAATAAAAAAGAAACATAAATATAAAGTAGCATATGCGTCTACGTACAATCATTGATAAATTAGCGTACGCGGATGTGACGTGCATAGTCACGGTGGCCGAGAGGTTAAGGCGTTGGACTCGAAATCCAATGGGGTTTCCCCGCACAGGTTCGAATCCTGTTCGTGACGACGTTTCATTTATTTCATCTACCTAAATTTTACATCAGAAATATTATTGGTTTGCCAAAAAGCATAGCTTCACCGTCCTCTGTGTGTTTAAAAACTTATTTATGATTTATTCTAGCGTCTACAATTTTGAAGCCCTTGAAATGAATTGTTTTTTTGTAATGCATCACCGTTTTTTTATTCACAGAGGGGATTTAACATACAGTTCTGTGCATAGATTTTAGGCACTAAAATTATTATTATTTATTAATTAACCTCATACAAAGTGCAGTGAACAAAAAAACCTGTACTGACCACTCTTTTGCCTTTAAAACTGTAAAAAAAAAAAAAAAAAAACTGGGGCCAAGTGGGCCAAGGTTATATTGATCTGCTCTGCGTTAAGAGTCCATCAAATCCCAAAAGTAAAACAGTATTTTATGCATAGTAAATGTCCCAATGACTGGTGTTTTATGCTCTGATCCTTTAACTAATGTCACTAACAACTAACATCAATTAGTCACATTAGTTGAGCCTGCAGCATGAAGGACATTAGTGATGATACAAGGCATTGCTAGTTTTCTTTAAAATGTGTTTTATTACAGTTACCTTGTACAGTTGTCATGATCACAGATCCAGTATTTCCACAGGTTACAGAAAATAAATACATGTGATGCATGATAACTCAAGAAAAAAAACCCAAACGCAATTCCAACAACCTAAGGATGAAATATTATGAAATATTAAGCACACAGTACAACCAGAGGCCTTGTATTTTGTTGTTGTCTAATTAGAATAAGATTGTCATTGTGGGACAAAATTAAAAATACAGTATGAACTCTCTTGCACCCAAATACAGGACATACTGCACAGAAAACACATGTACTGTTTCAGCAACAAGAGCTAATAGAACAGATCAGACTGCACATTTTGTGATTAACAAAACATATTCAAGTATAGCTTCTCTTTGAAAAATAAATGCACAATAAATTTGTGAGCACTCCATGTATTTCTCTATATTCATATTTCCATCAGATGAAAAGTGTCAAATTCTTAAATGAAAATATGGGCCTGTTCTTACTGGGCTACCATATGACATTAATAAAGTTTTATTGAGAGACACTGTGACGGTAATGAGTCACAGTGTGTCCAGAGATAAATAATCTGAGAGAGAAACAATCGAGATGTGTAATTGGGATTATCACTGGAATGTATTTATACACTGGAATCATTTGACCTGACTTTGGTTTGTCCTGATCTACTTTTTACACGAAACATCAAAAATAGAATAAGTCATGCGGTTTATATTATTTTAAAGGTTCAGTTCTCACATGCTGTCAGCTCATAAATTCACGTCGAGAGCGAGGAAATAATTTAAAGCACAGCTTGATGTGTGAGTGCAGGGGACGACACACACTCATCTTTTGGCTCATATTCATCACTTTGGATATGCAAAAACAAAAAAGAAACCAATCCTTTACATTTAGCCTTCTAAAAATTCTTTTCTCCACCTGTCAACATACTGTATCCATCTGTCCAAATTTGACCTATGCATTCATCACCTTTATCCATCCAGGATCACATGATCTATTGACCTAACCATCTATCAATATTTTCTCTTATTGTGAAAAGAAATCCGATGAGAAGAACAAAACCAACAATGAGATGATCCTGCTGTGTATCAGAGCCTGGTTTATCTTACTGTGGATGAACCGATGAACAGCACTGGCTGATGTGTTCCTTTATTATGTCAAACACTGTACTGTTCTGCTACTGTTAACTCCCACTAGCGTGCAAAATGTGTATTAATCCGCAGCTGAAACTAGTCCCCAACAAGTGCACTATTTATCCTGTAACAGTAACGTTTGCTAAAAGCTACAGTGCCCAGCTGTTTTAGGAAGTTACTGAGTGATTACATATGGGAGCTACACATTTGCACAAAGGAGGAAAGTGAGAAAATCATTGAGAGTTGCATCGTTGGTTTTGCTCTTTTCATGGGATTTGTTGGCAATAAGAAAAATACAGAATAACGCCCAACATCATCCTTTAAGACAGAAAAAAAAAACTTTCTTTTTCTTTGTGTCTTTCTAAAAATCTATCTTAACCACCTATCTCTTTGGGTATATGATCTACTTCTAGTTCAATGCGCAGGGCAAATTCAGAGAAGTTGCCTTAAACACAACGATAAGCCTCACAAGAAGAAAAGAAGATCATGGCCTGCGTCCATCTCTACCTTCTGCACTGTCGTTTGATTCACTCTCAACAGCAGATGCATCCTTTAAATCTTGGGCAAGTTGGGACATCTAGCGTGTCATGGAAAGCACGAGACACCTCTTGAAAACCTCCTCTCTCCTCTCTAGGTGGTCCTGCGTTAAATAACTTGTCCCCCTGCTCAGCAATGTCCAGTCAAAAATCACCTGTCACTAGAGGTAGGGCGTTGCTGTAAATATTGTCCTCTGGTCAGTCTCTGACCTGTATTATTGTTTCCTGGTAACTGGCGTACTAGTGGTGATTATTCTCCCAGGAAACAGCAAAGGAGAGCAGTCGCTGCAGCGTCTCCTTTCCATCTTCATGCTCCCTCCTCTGACAGCGTGGGAGGTTCAGGGAGGTGTCGCTGCAGGTTCTCCCTCCCTCCCGAGATGATCGGGTGAGTCGTGACAGTGGATGTGCTCAGTAGCGCCCCCTGTGGTTCGTCCTGGACATGGTGAGCGGCAGGGACACAGAGGAGAGAGAGGAGACCTCCCAGTAGAGAGAGCGAGAAAGGAAGAGCTGGTAGAGGATCACCATGGAGATGGATTGGCAGAGGATAACGCCTATAGTCACCACCTACAGAGAAGGAACCGACGAGATAGAGGGTTAAAGATGCCATGTGGATTTTGTGGATTTATCTTAACTTCAGTAGCTTTTGTGTTTCTCTGCAATCCTGCAGACCTTCAATGCCACTTCATGGTGGTGCTTTGCTAAAATGTTGTTTGTTTGTGTTTTCAAACCTTCTCCCTCTGGTGCTCGTTGAAGACAACAGACATGAGGACAAGGATGGGGTGACAGAGGAACCACAGGAAGCATCCCTGCAACAAAAACCGTGTGACCACGTGAAGAGCTGGAGGTGAATATTTGTCTGGAGAATGCAGGTTCGTGTACAGTGTAGTTTACCTTGGCGAAGCAGAGGTAGAAGTCTCTCTTCAGGGTGCTCCTTTCAGTGGAGATGATCTGGTAGAGGACAGAGGCCAGGAGGAGAGCCAGGCCCACTCTCAGAGCGATGAGGAGGACACCTGCCAGACTCCGCTGGGCGTGGTAGCTGTGATGGTCACTCTCTGACTCTGAATACTGCTCCCACAGCAGCAGCACCCCCTGAAAATTACACTGATTCACTTTCAAGAGCTCTGAGTCATATTTCCTGAACCAGATTTCATTTAAAAAAAAAGCACATTATGAGCCTGTAATAATTATTTGAATAAAGTTTCGGTGTAAATCTGCATACCTGTGTAATGACTCCACCAACAGCGACAGCCGTGGAGGCCGGAGACTGTTCCCACTGCAGAGGTCTGGACTGAGGCTTCCTGCCTCGACTCAGAGTCCAGCCCATACACAGACTCAGTAACATGTACAGCATGGACACCTGGGACACCATATCCCAGACTGCACAGGGACAGGAACCGAAAAAGTGAAAAAAAGAAGAGGGTATATAACATACTTTATTTCATCAGAGAAGTTCCTCTTACTCTTATTACTGAATCTATCTTCAGAAGCAGATATAAACACAAATGGAAAGAAGAGACATGTTTAATTAAGAGGAACTTACACTCAGCCAGGCTGCCTATCAGAGGAATACCAATACCGTCTCGAGAATACCTGCAGAGCACAAGATCAGGGACAGAAAACACGACTGCATTATTTCATATTCTTCTTATTCATCCCTGCAAAGGCAACATGATTAAAAACTATATGTAGAATAGGCATTAAATAGTAGTCATTCAGACTAAGTGAAAATTGCTCGCTGGCTGTGGATCATATCTACCTGGCCAGGTGGATGTAGTTGCAGAGAGCAGAGCAGCCCTGTAACGCCAGTGCCATGGTGAGCACTTTCAGGACGGTGTTCATGGGACCTCCTTTCCTCAGCGCCTGGTACAGAGGCTGGATGTAGATGCAGCAGGCTATGAAGTAGGCCAGCAGCAGGAGGAAGTAAAAACTGTGGAGACCTGAGTGAGTGAGAGAGAGAGAGAGAGAGGAAATCGAGTCAAGGGGAAACATTTTGTTGCACATGAGTGATGCAGATCCCCCAGGACAAATCCTTGCAACCTCTACAAATCATAGCATCCAGTTACATTACGGTTATAATGTCATATATGTGCAGAGAACAGTTATGAGACAGATTTGACACAGCATTTGGCCATTACATCCTTTCTATCCTATGAATAATTAACACAAACATCTTTTTTTAAATCACACAAGCATAAAGCAGAGGAGCTCTAAGAGAGAATCCTGCAGGTTCAAGCACAAATCTATGAAGAAAATATAATCTTTTATTTGTTATGAATCAATACAAACATATTTGTATTGTTTGGAAGCCGGGGACATTACACCGACACGCCTCCTAGCTGTGCTGATGGGAGTATTCGGGGATGTCTGACCTGCCTCCTCTGCGCTGAAGTGCTCCAGAGGATTCCCAGCTGAGTCAGCATTCAACAGCAACAGAGTAAAACTGAGGTCAGCGTGAGAGGGAATCACTGCGCTTTCCTGGAGAGACAGACAAGAAACAGAGAGAGGAAAAAAAAAACTTAAGTGTGATAAAAGACTGTGCTCAGCATCAATGTAATCACTGAAACTGGAGAAACATTGAAAACTACACATCTTTGTGGTTGTTTAAGCTTTTATTTCACTCACTTGCATGTACTTCTTTAAATTAAGTTGTTGAGGTGGGGGTGGAGGGGGGTTAGTTTCATAGGAATCTATAATGTTCATGTTACCTGACATGTATACCTGTCAGCATACAGGGCCTGCCAGGCTGTAGGGGAGGACTGGTGAGGGATCGTCTGGTTGAACTCCTCTTTATTGAGAGAAACTGGAGCAGGGGGAGGCAGAGATGAGATGAGGTGACAATGTGGAGCGAGGAGAGCAGAGGAATAAGAAGAATACATCAATACAGCTGTACCACATCCATCATATCACAAGTCAGCACTTGGTATTAGTGGAAACGCTGGTTCTTACTGGTGAAGTGGGCTTTAGCAAGCCTCTCAGTGCAGCTGAGGTTGTCCAGGTCTGAGTCCATATCCTGATACAACAGCAGTCTGGACTCCTTCTCTGTAGCCAGAGCGGAGTTGTCCAGCCGACACACCAACAGACCATTATCACCTACAGAAAGACAGAGACAGGAAAAGGGTGTTGGATCAGTGGGTGGCGGGGAGAGTTTCCTACCATTTCTCTTATTGTACTGATTGTTAAGTGGTTTACTGAAGTGCCATGGGAAATTTAGAGTCTAATGAAAAATGAGATTTAATTGAACCTTCAGACCATGACACATACTGTGGCTTCTCTCTGACCTGCTCATGGTGGCGTAATGGTTTCAGAGGCTCCACAAGTTTTAACCAGCAAATCCTCCAGTGAGCATCCACCCTACTGTAGCAGACCCCTGACCTCACATGAAGTATACTGGAGCAAGTTACTGAAGCTCTCACTGGCTAAACAAAAAAATAATGAAAAATGAAAATAAAATCTGATGATGCTTGAAAATTTGTTATTAACTATAAAAACAAAAAATACAAAGTGTAGTTATTTAAAATGCTGTTACTCATTAGTTATCAGATAAAGTGATGACATAGTTACACCCATCAGTGGCAAATAAACAACACAAAAACTGTGAATATTAACACAGTGTCTTCAGGCCACATTAAAATGAATGGCAGTATAATGAAAATATAAGCACTGGTGAAGTGACACGTTAGCAGCAGCACATCAGCATCGTTACCTTGGTACATGAATTTAGTGATGAACTGGCCATTCTGCTGTCTCGCCACTTCGCTCTTAAAAAGTCCCGTCACAGTTTTCCCCAAAGCCTCCGAACTGAACAGCACTGCAGCTACAAGTGTGACCAGTAAACACGACATTTTTCCCTTGTGCAGTTTTACGCTATCGACAAATAAACGTTAGCTATTCAATTCAATGAGCCACGAAGCCAGAAGTAAACCAGCTGCGTCAAGTTGCTCAAAGTTACCTAGGGTTACGACCGGAAGTTAGGTTTTTCCGCCCTCAAATAAAAGCGTTATATGTGTTATTTTTGGCAAGAAAATGAAGTACAAATAATATTCATATTAATGGAGTACAGACTTTTATTAAGTATTTTTTTAATTATTGAAATGTACTTAATTATATTCCACCACCGTGGTTCAGTATATGTAATCTATGAGTAATAGTAGATTGACAAAAAGCTGAACACTCTTATTTAGAAAAAAACGTCCGGAAAGTATATGTTTATTGTAGCTCACTTGACACCGTTGCCCAGCTCGGTAGGCACCGTTGACAGTTTGATTGATTTGAGATTCACGCAATCAAAGAGCACTTTTATGAGTACGTCACACAGAACGACCAATCAGAGAACAGAAAGCGGCCGTCTTGCATTAAATGCCCCACCCTTTTTCAACGTGTCAACACTGCCGTAAAACAGCCCGCTACTGTTGCACATTACACAACGAATCCGCTTCATAGAGGAAAATAGAGAAGTAGCATAGAGTAAAATAGTAAAATAATAGTAGAATATAGAGGCTCCACGACTGAATATAAAACAGTGACGATGTTGTGATTATGTCTGCGGAGGACAGTAATGTGAAGTGACATTAGCTAGAGCAGAGGATGGACTTTAACAGCACTGTTCTGGTGACTGGAGGCTCTGGATTCATGTGAGTTCAGACATCACTTCCGATTCATTACAAACAATTAACTTAATGTTAATTGTAGCTTCTTAAAGCAACAATACCTGACCTCTCTCATGAATATATTATATTAGACTTTTATCACTGCTGCATTAACACATAAGCAGCTTATTCTACGTATTTTACATTTAGTGTATTTAACATGTTTATTATAGGTAGGTGTTTGTAATAACATAATAAGTATGCAGGTTTTGATCTTAATAATTATGGTAATTATCATGTTTTTTTAAATTTTATTTCAAAGAGCAAAGTATCTGTATTATAAAGTAGGAGAAAATAAAATAGTACGGTACAAATACCTCAAAACTGAACCACAGGAAAGACACAGAGGACAGTGAGTCAGAGCACACATGACTCTTTGAGATGTTCTGACATATATATACTGCATCTCTCTCTCTCCCAGTGGTTCCCATCTCGTGTGTTCACTGGTCAACAGGCACCCTGACTGGAGAATTATTAACCTGGATAACGTAAGTCTTCACTGTCTCTGTGTGTGTGTGTCCACAGATGGATGGAAGGATCTATAGACATATGTGTTTCAGTGTTGAATAACTCTCCCATAACGGATTAAATACTCATGTGTGAGGCTGTGAGTGTGTTTCTCAGTGTCTGATCTTTTCCAGTTGGATTACTGCTGCAGCCCCAGGAGTCTGGAGAGCATTGAAGACAGAGCAAACTACACCTTTATCAGGGTGAGAGCTGCTGTATAATAATGTTGTACAACTAATGGTAAAATCTGAGAGCAGCTGGTTTCCACAAGTAGACAGTGACGTTTGTACTATTATGATTTGAATGAATTAGTGGTACAACCATTTGAATCTACTGCTTTCTTCAACAGGGAGATGTGTGTAACTCACGGTTGGTGAACCACATCTTCAACACAGAAAACATCGATGTGATCTTCCACTTAGCAGCCAAAACACACGTCGGTGAGCAGCAGTTGTTCACACACAGGTTAGGCTTGTACACCGGCCTGATGTTACTGTTTTTAATTGCCACTCACTGTGTTGTTTGTTCCCTCAGAGTCGTCGTTTGAATCTCCGTCCAGTTTCCAGCAGGTTAACATCGATGGAACCAGAGTTTTACTGGGAGCTGCCCATCAGGCCCGACACCAGCCGCGGCGCTTCATCTACGTCAGCACTGATGAAGTGTACGGAGCCAGTCTGGATGAGGTCAGTGGAGACTCTTTGATAGATTGTTGGGTGGATATGCAGAGTTTGGGTTTATGGGTCATTTATTGACTTGGATAGCGGGCGTTTCATTCTCTGTAGGTGTTTGAGGAGAGCAGTCCAGTGAGGCCCTCCAACCCGTATTCTGCCACTAAAGCAGCTGCAGAGTACCTGGTCAGATCCTACTGGGATAAATATAAGGTACACACACACACACACACACACACACACACACACACACACACACACACACACACACACACACACACACACACACACAGGCAGGGATTTAGTTTGTAAATGACATTGATGTATTAAATTATATAAATTATAGGCCTTAAAAAACATTTTTGTGCTTCTTTGCGTGTTAAATTCTGCTCTCTATCTGTTACCAGTTCCCAATCGTTATTACCAGGAGCAACAACATCTACGGGCCCAGGCAGTACACGGAGAAGGTATAATATCCTGACTAACAACTGCTGCTAATTTTAGTTTCTCTCAATTAATAAATTGTCATCTTGATCTTTCAGGTCATTCCGAGGTTTCTCTCCCTCTTGCAAATGAACAAGAAATGGTAAAGTTTTTACTGAGAAACCTTGTAGTTATAAATCAGCTTCAGTATTTGTTTTTATATTTAGAGAAAAACAAAGTAGAGTAAATCAAGTTTCTCTTTCTCCTCTTTACCGCAGCACCATCCAGGGAACCCTCCCTAAATCCCGCCATTTCTTGTTTGTCAGTGATGCCATCAGTGCCTTCCTGCTGATTCTGGAGAAAGGGATTGTGGGCGAAATATACAATGTGGGGACGAGCTGTGAGATTCCCATCATGCAGCTGGCCAAGGAGCTTATTAGGATGGTGGGTTTAGGAAGTGTTTTTCTAATTTAAAACATTCTTGCAAGAGGTAGCAAATTTTCAGAAAATTATCACTTATTAAAACAGAGTGTGTTTTTTTTCTTTAGGTCAAGAATGTGCCAGACTCTGAGGTGAATGACTGGCTCGAGTTTGTGCCTGACAGGTAAGTCAAGAAAGTCAAAAAATGAATGTATGAATGTTTTCCGAGTTCAGTATTTACCAGGCAGTGGTAGGTAATGCTTCCAGGAAATAGCCACACCCTTGCCCCCTTGGACAAATTCTATTATTACAGCTATTAACACGATGACTGACACATCAGTGTGCAAATATTTCATAGAAAAATCAAAGCTTATGTCTTCACATATCACCAAGAGACACATCTGAATGTACTGATGCTCTACAGGCCACGGGTCGACCTGCGCTACCCCATCAACTGTGAGAAGCTGCAGCAGCTGGGCTGGAGAGCTGAGGTGTCCTGGGCTGAAGGCATCAGACAGACTGGTATACTAATACAGACACACACACCACAGGTCTCTAGAAATAAAATCTCTATATATGCGATATATGTGTGCTATTAATTCCTGTGTTTTATGCGTCTTACAGTCAAATGGTACCAAGACAACCCAGACTTCTGGTCAGACACAAGCGAGGACCAAGGACAAATCAGAAGCAAGCTTGAAAAATCTCCCAGCAAATAAGTGGCCTTTGCTGTGCCCTGCGTCTCGACTGACAGGATGCCGACTGAACAAATTTCAGATGATATTTATGCAGCACAGATGCTATTATGGCTGATTTACAGCTCAAGGAACAACTACAGAACACTGCTACTTCATTCTTCTCAACTGTCTCTGAATGATCGTTGGACCAGCGGGCCCTGAAGTGCCTGCCAACAGGAAGGCAGCGCCTCCCTTCAACCAAATCAAACATTCAAATGAATGCACTTTATCTTCATGTTAATTACTGATTCAGCTGATGTTGACAAGTGGTCTTATTTTGCTCAACTTGGGCTTGTTCAATTTTGATGTACAATCTTTAAATGTTTAAACATACTCTGTGGAAGTATGTGGAAGCTCCATGAAACAATGTTAAATCTCTCTCTTGTAAAGGCGGCAGCATTCGGGATGCTAGTCTGTTTTTATTTACTTCCCTGAGGGGTAACACTGACAGAAAAGGGTCAAACTGGGCTGCAGTGACAGTTGTGAAAAACCAAACAGGCACAAATCAAAGACAGCTTCATCCCTCGCTGCCATGTGACAAACTGCAGCATCACACTTGTGTCAGACCCTGAATTTATTTTGACATTTTTGAATGAGTTTTTGGAGCATGTACATTCATGTATTTCCACAGGGTATGATTGCAGGCTTTTTGCGCACCATTCAAAGTCAGCAGGCAGTTTGTCAATCTAACGACCAAATATTTTAGTGGTGCCTCTCAGAACAGGTTAAGACGCAGGCATTACATTTACATGCACAGTAAGTAGGGTAAGGTCGTGTGTTAACATGCACTTTAATAACCCGTTGACTGTAAATCTGCCTAGAATGTGATTTCGCCCCCAATACTGATTATTTTAACAGTTGTAGTGGTGCAATATGCAGCTTCCTTCTGTTTTCAGAGGTGGACAGACTCTGTAGTGAAAGCACTGCTTTTCCTTAAGCGCAAATGTGCCTGAATTATTCAAATAGTCAAATGCTGGAGGCTCCGTCTTGCAAGCCAATGAAAAACCTGGTTACATGTGTATGTGGCAGAGAAATTTCTCCTGGAGAAATCAAGCAGGTTTCTCCTCTTCGTGACATTTCACAAATCCAGTTTCCGCAAAAAGACGACTGAAACCTGGTTACTTACTTACATGCATGTTAATGTACTGACAGACAAGATTAGGAAGAAGGAAACCCCTGTTTTTGCCAGCTCCTTCTAACATCCAGCATATGTAGCAAGTTTTAGCAGCTGTACTTCACATTTCAAATTTAAGATGTGAACCTTTCATGGTATTTTGACTAGTTTGAAATGTTTTAGTTTTAACAGCAGCCATATAATAAAAGGTTGAGAAGGGAACAGAAGCTAATTCAAAGTCCAGTCATCTCAGTCAGGTGTGTTTTTACACTGCACACATTCTAAATGTTTTTAATCATGATGCTGTAGAATGTATTTAACAACAAATAAAGTCAATATTTAATATCTTTAAGTTATCTGGCACTCAAACAATCCTTCGCACAAGACACACATACACAGAAGAAGAAGAAACAGATCAAAACACCAGTTACATTTGCAAATCCAAACCTTTATTTGTGGTAAAATCAGAATATATGCACAGTTTTTTTTCTTCGTGCAGTGCTCCTCTTCGTGCACAACTGCTAAACTAATACATAAAGCAAATACTAACTACCAGGCCAGTGCTGCTGTGTGTCCACATTAAGGGGATCTGGCCAGTCAGTAATGGTGACGACACTGGGCTCCATTTCAATTCAGATCTCTCTCTAAACAGCAATCATTCCTCAATAGATCACCTTCTAAAGTTAATCACATTGAAAGTGAAATGAAGCCGTGAAGTGTTTTTTTGTGTACGTTGCATCCCAGAGTGCCATTTGACAACAACTACAGAAGAGCCATGAACTTATTGTCACAAAACTTTGTGTTATTGCACACAAGAGGCTGTAAAATGTGATTATTTGCCTGTGTGCCATGTGTTCGATCTGTCAATGATCGTGGATTTACTTTGGCTCCATTGCTTTCTGGTCCACTGAGGCTCCAGTCATTGGACAAATGGATTTGTCCCAGTATAACTGAGTGTTTGTGCAAAGTGGAATTAATGACATTATTCTTGTCATGCAAGACAGATGAAGAGCCATGGATCAGCTGCAAGTTGCAATTAAAAAAAAAAGAGAAAAAAAAGCATGTCACTAACGTAAAAGACAGCAGGATGGATCCTCATTTCTGATTGGCCAGAAGCTCCCCCGTGACAGCATTAACACACTGACGCCTGAAAATATGCAAATCACAACAACATAGCAATAGAACCACAGTTAATTCTGTGTTATGAAGACTTTAAAGGTCGCCACTTGCCAGACATTCACAACAAGGGTATCAACGGGAAGGAAAAGTGTAAAGACTCAAATGAAAAGAAAAAAACAAAAACAACAATTGACTTGGAGAGAATCTGGACACTTGTTTTTTGTACTGCATGTTTGTTTGTTTTTTTTACAAAATGGTCTTTGATCGTAACATTTTGTTATTTTTTTATTTATTTTTTTTATCCAAACCTTGGCATACATGGTGGTATTGTCTCAAATTTTGTTTGCCAATTAAAAATGGCTGTTTATGGTTGATTTTCATTATTGGCAATGGAACCTGTCGCACAAACAGGTTTATGGATCTGATACTGAGTCCAATGTGACTTTAAAGGTAACCCGTGTAGGATGTTTCTCTTCATATGTCACAGTCACTTTAACTGTAAAACAACTGACACCACGTGCACATCTTCTCGTGTTGTTGGAGATGACAGTAGAGCCCAGTTATGGCCAGCGGATGTGTTCACTGACAGATTTTTGAGAGGTTTGCATCGAAAACAAAAACAACCGCTAATTGTATTAGCCAAGAACAGACAAACGCAACTGGTTATTTTATCTACAAATGGTTTCTAAACTGAATTTCCAGATACTACAGTTATGTGGATATCGCAAAACAAAATTATACATACTGGTAGTTGTTGCACTTCATCCTGTAGGGGAATGTGCTACTGCACTTTGTTTTCAGAAAAAGGGCAGAAAAAAGATGTGCACATGGTGTGAGTGCCCTTGTACTGGCCTTTAGCAGAGAACTGGTGTTTTGGGATTTTAAGCATTTTGGCACCAGTGACAGTATTGTTATTTTTGGGTTTGGATTTTTAAAACCTTTTTACATTTGTTATTATCAAAGCTTGTAACAGTGACATATCCAAAGAGAAATCCCTACACGTTGCATCTTTAACATTAAAAAGCTCACACTACCCCAGAAAAATAGAAATTTTCACTCATACCAATGACATTCAACATTCAAGTGCCAGTGTTTTTGTTTACTGTCTTTTGGTCAAGTCACTTTGTAAAATATCAACTTTTGTATTAGGCTTATAAAAATAAATATTTCTCAAAAATGCTTGATAAATTACACAAACTAGCAGCGAAAGTAGACTCGAGAACTCTGTGTGCAAACAGCTGAATCCTACGGTTTGCTGTTAACTAGATCTCCACCTGGTCCCAAAACAAAAACTAACAAAAAGAAAAAAAAACTAACAAACTAAAAAAGAAAAACTGTTTCATATCTGGAAGAACCTGTCCAAACATCTCTCTCACACTCACACACACACGCACGCACACACACACAACACTGTGGACAAACCTCTCTTTTTGACACTTGCTGTGTTACACCTCAGTCACTCTCACTCACTCACACATACCTCTCGGAGGTTTTGAAGGAAATGTGCTACAGAAGACTTTAGCTGAAGGTTAAACAAAGTAACTGAAGTATTTCCTGTAAAACTTGGGGTTTGAAGTCTTTCTACAACAGAGGGGCCTGCAGGCCGCAGCAATGGGAGCATAGCACCATTAAATGTTCACTGACGATCAAAATAATCCTGCTGGTAAGGTAGTTTCCGTAGTGACGCGGAATCCTTTGCCATGGTGACACTGTCAGTGTATCTGTTGCCATGGTAACGCTGTATACAGTGTAACCAACTTCACTACCTGCTCCATTAGGGCTGGGTATCACCCTAGAATTTAAGGCATCAAAAGGTTTTGAAAATATTCAAAAACCTGAAACTAAAGTGCTGGATTTCTTTCACAGGAAATAAAACTGAGCATGTTGTACTTCTAATTAGTACAACTGATGGTCCAAACAAATGCTACAGGGGTCATTAGGATTCATCCTGGACCAAAGTGGTAGATCAACTGACTGACCTATATTCCCGTCCACAGAGCCCTACTGCTCAACAGTCCTGACAGGGGTCCATTTGACAAAAGGAAGTCAACATGGAGAATTTAATCAAACATGTAACAATGACAAGAAATGGCAACTACATTTAGAATTTAAATTTTTTTAGCCTTCAATCAATCAGTAAGTACATCTGCCTGAAACGTTAATAAATCTGTTTGTGCCAGCGTTACACAATGGCAGTTAAATGTCGACACAATGTTTGAAGCAACGTTTTAATTGTGTTTTTCAGTGTGATTGCACCCTGCTCTGTTCAACACTTGTGTGTCTGCCATTCTGGGGACTGATGACTGTGATGACTTCATACCCACGCCTACATCATGCATTTACTTTTGTTTGGATTTTACATCTATATTGAAAAATACCCAGCCCTAACTGCCACGTTTCAGTCTTTAGTGAATCATTGATTCAGTCAATTCAAGGCACAGCGCACGTCAGAATTTGAGCTGATTTCACTTGTGCCAGTTTGTGCTTTAATCCAAACGGAGCACAGACAGAAAACAGCCCTAACAAAACTCATGAATCTTGGTGACAGCAAAGTGAAAGCAAGCCACAAATAACTGATCTCTATTGCACTTACTGTAGAAGTTCAGTGCCCTGGGAAGCGGGCATTTTGATGAGGAGGGGTGGGGGTTTGGGGCACAGTGGTAGTTAAGTGTTGCTCCAACACAGTTCAAAAGTAATTACAGCTGATAGATATAATCTGTCTTCCCTAGAAAAAGACCTAAATACATTGCATATTTATGTGCATACTATGAACACTACTACTTGACAAGATTGCTCTATAAACAAGATGAAAAGTGAGGTAAACTGAAGTTTGACCTTCCATGACTCCCTGCTGTATAACTCAAAAATTAAAAATTACTATCTACACTACCAGCATTCAACAATATACTCAGATCTTGTATCAAAACAACTGTTCCTAGCATCTGCGTCACTACACGTAAAATGCTCAGTCATTCCTTCATTTTTACATGGTTATGCTATCTGCCCCCTAGTGGCTGTTAGAAGGCACAGCAATGTCTACACACTGAACCAGATTCATTCAAGTGTTTTGTCTCTGACGCTGTATATTCTTCCGAAAGGTATTTTAACATACTTAGCATTTTTATTAAACACAAGAGACTATACTAGCTGCATACTACGTTTGTGGTTGGCAACAGCCATGGATTCAAGTAACAAATGCTGACAACATCCCTTCTCACGCAGGGAATATGTGACAGTGTCAGAGGACAATTCAGTCAAGCGTTAAATTTGTGTTATTCAGTCAGTATTTAAAGGTAGACCCTGGTTTGGTACCAGCACCCAAACGTCCCAACTCCAAACAGCTCCAAAGCATCAACAATATGGGGATTTCAGGACGCTATTGGGTAATGCAACAGTAAGGAGTGTGTATCTTTACCTGGAAGGTAATGAGCTTCAGCCTCCTCCAACATGGAGGCTAGAAGTCAGATGTGCATGTTTAGAATTGGCCAGTTATCAAGTAACTGTCCACAAGTCAGCTGGTTAAAAAAAGGTTCTACATTTCAAGGTGTCCCCAAGACTATTAAAAAAAAAGTGCAACTTAAAACTTAAAAGAGTTCTATTGATGTGTAAAGTGAGTTTTAAACTAAGCAAATCCCTCAAAATTGATTGTCATTTGCAACATTATTTGCAACATATTGTCATGTTACTGATTTCTATCTTCCTGCTGCTTATTCCTTCATACTCAACAGTTTTTGTAAGAAATCTAAGATGGAGACGGTCCACCAATGCTGCAGGAAAAACTATAGTTGATACTCATATCATGAGTTTGGTGCTAAAATAATTTATTGGGACACCTCAAACACAGTTCTGGTCAACAATTTAATTTAACCAGTGCTCATCGTAGTTTAGCCTGTATTAGCTGAACCATTGTGAGAACATAATGTGTTGTGCTACAATAATCTGACAGTTGAACCACACCTAAACAGTAGCCGAAAGAAAACGCAAACTAATTTGGAAGTTTGACATGGTGGAGTGTGCTGTGTCTGCCCTCTACTGGTAGCTTCATGTTTTTTCCTAACGTTTACCTATCCTTGAACATGTAGTAAGAGATATCACGGAACTAATTTCTCCCACCACTAATTCTGACACAAGGGACTGGTGTCTTTGCACCAAGACACATAGAAGCTTAAATCTAGTTTGTCAATTTTGTCCTTGACCTGCTGTCTGCTTGATTCCTCAGTCCTCCAGCATCACTCAGCCCTAAACTTTTTAAAAATAGTGTTAAAGCCAACTAGTTTCCTGAACCTCCCAGTCACCTGTACTCGAGGGAAACAGATTGACACAAACGTGACTTCTGATTAAAAATTTGTCTAAAAATCATAGAAGACAGAAAAGAGAGTTTCAACTTAACTAAAGCCTGCTGTATAATTGTTTATATTTGCTTGGCATTTTTAACTCCTTGACCAAAAAACAACAACACTTGCATATGTTTTGTTGTCTTGGTCCAGCCTTGTCATTTGTCAAAGCCAGTGGGCAATTTGAGGGACTCCGCCTTGTGAGTGTCAATTGATAAATTAATTCTGCCTATTGGTTTTTTTTTTTTTTTAATGTGTAAACACATGTATTTTCTGTAAATTTTATCTCCAAATTGCCCACTGAGCTGACCTGACTGCATGGTCCAATGTCGAGTGATCAAACGTAATCTTCTACACATCAAGTGTTGTTTCACTTTTAATTCACATTCTTTTTCTGTGGAGATTCTTCTCTTTCTGTTTTAAAGATATGAACTATTTACAGTTAAGCTAGGTTTTCATTTCACCAAAGTTATAAATGTAAACAAAACAAATTAAGACCCTGATGAAAATTAACAATTTTCCCCACCAGGCAGCAACAAAGCTACTTTTTGGCTTATTCTGCTGTTGATTGACACAGTGGGGGATTGGACTTCTACCACTGAACTGTCCAAATGAACAGTGGAGTTTCTCACGTTCAAACAGGGATGAAACATGGAAATCCAGGGTGCAGGTCAACTGCCTCTTGTAGCCTGGTTCCACGGCAGAGCAAAGTAGGGCTAACCAGGTATTGGATGTTGATTACGTCAAGAAAATTCTTGCAATCTTGTAACCAAATATTTTCTGTTTTATTATGCCACTTGTCCTCTAGCACACTTTATCTGTCCTATATCTTGCTGTGCTACGCTAAGCTTGGCATCTTTTTAACTTTCCCAGCAGCGCTAAAATGGGACAATGCTAGCATAAATGCAGCAAACACCAACTGTGTCGCGTCAATTGACAAGCACGCAGACATACAGGTGGAAGTAGCAGTCAAAGTGCTGTAACCAGAATGAGCTGGTGCACTTTGATGCTTGTAAATAAGAGAACAGTATCAGTCAGAAATGACTTATGCCAAGATGCTGCTGGTGTGCAGCTTACATAGAAGAAATGTATGCAGGTGTTGTGGAGCACATGATATGCCACTGGTGCATGTTGCTGCAATTGTTAAGCGATTTCTGTGCTTTTTTTGTCAGTTGATATCTTTGAAACATGGCACTGGAGAAGTGGACATCATTACAAGAGAAGAGAGGAGAAGGAAATGACGATAAGAGTAGGGATGGAAGGACCTGCAATCTTAAGCAGGAGCTAAGTAGACTTGGTTGGAATTGTGCCTGTTCACATTTGCTCATAGGACAGTAAGACAGGGCATGGCTAAAATGTGCTATAGAGGTGTTGCATTATATCCTCCAGAAGCCCCAGCTGTCCCTGCTGTGAAATGGGTTAGGCAAGCTTATCAAATTCTTTACTTTAACACCTGACCTCAACAGATCTTTAAGACCTAACGAATAAACTGGAATGACTTATTTTAGAGAAGACTCTTCATGTAACTCTCCAGGATAGAGTGAGCAAGAAAATTTTGAACTCTTATAGCCTTTTGGTTGTGTATCCCCTTGAAAGAAGCTTTTGGCAAACAAGGGTTTCAATGTTTGTAGTGGAAGCAGAGCCAGTTTCCCAAGAGCATGGTGGCACTAAGAGTTAGCTGAACATCCACAGCGACAGCCACTGGTAAAATTTGGTAACCGTTGTTTCAGCAGCAGCCATGTAGCCCCAAAAATGTTGTAGCATTGCTTTGCCATCACTGTAGGATGTGGTCAGTGCAAGAGACACAACTTTTGTCAATATTTTTATAATTGCATTGTTAGATATTACTATTCTTGTATGTATGGAAACAACATTCCAGTCATTCATGACTCTCACAGGGAGATACCAAAGACTTAAACTGCTGGGAAAATGCAAATCTGATGTATCGAAATAGAGTGAACCATTTTAACAATTACTGTGAATCTAATATAACTTGAAAGTGGCATCAGATTTTGACCTCTCACTACAGTAAGTTATGAGGAACATACCACATATCTGAATAGTTTGAGAGGAAGTAGCAACATAACATAGCTGCTGCTGCTGCTGCTGCTGCTGGGCTATACCAAATTCAGTGGCTCTGCTTCTGGCATCAAGTGACCCAACAATTAGTGACAACATGGTTTTGAGAAACCCAAACTCAAGCTCAAACCAGAGCTATAGATGTGACATACAGGTCAATGAGCAGGACTCGGTTTCCCAAAAGCATAAAACCACTACTATTATTTCTGTTTACAGCCTTTTAAAGCAACAAGGTCTGTTTTTGGTATTAATACAACTTCATTTTTTTTAATAAGAAATGTAATGTATTTAACCCATTTTAGCTTGGATGAGGGTGCATTTAAAAAAATCTAGCAATATGGTCACAGTGGTATTATGCTGTTGGGAATCGGCTCATCAGAGACCTTCTGATGAATTTGAACTCCAATAGACAGATAAGGAACAGAGTTGAGGTTCCTCATCACAGTTTTTGTTTTAAGTTTTTTTTGCCAAGGTTTGATTTAGTTCAAGCCTAGTTTGTTTCCTTCCAAATAGAAATAAAGAAGAACATGTTTGAACCCATACATGACATTAAATACACATTTTTTAGTCACAGTTGGCCAATACTTATAGCCAGTTACGTATTATGGCAATAAAAACAATGAAAATAAGAAAAGTTCAAATTCTGAAAGGCACAGTACAGAAACAAATGATCCTCCATTATGTTTTGTTCCAAACAAAGATGCTGATTGTAGTTGTAATATTAACAACCACAAGTCCTAAGACTCTGTTTGCTGGCATCATTGCTAATGTGCAACGTCCCAGCCCTGTGTCTCTTCTGTCTCTGTGGGACATCTTTCTCAGACTTCGGTAAATCAATACTTCAATATGTTTTCAAAAGGTGAAAAAATAAAAAAACATTTTGCTGTTTCTGTGGCCCCTTTTAAGAATCTGTCATGTAAGTGAAGGAGACCTCAGCCAGCTCCCATTTTGAATTTATATGCAGACATATTTTGCTCAGATCTGACGTCTTGCCTATCTCTGCGCTATATTTTAGAAAAATTTTCGGCCTATGATTTACAACATGGCCATGCGTTACATACAAAGATGACGTGTGAAGGTACACAGGAAGCCTGGCTGGCTTTGGGTGAATACAGACAAAAACACAATGAAACCAAAACTTAAATCTAAAAGGGAAAAATGGGTATCCCCTGGTCCTCCACATACTGTAAATATTTCATGTGCATCTATCTTGGGGGGGTTAAAAGAACATGTAGAACTTTCAATTCAGTTGGTTATTTTTCTTCAGACATGTCACACAGGGCAACTAGTTTAAAAAGTCCTCACTGAAACCAAAGGCTGTTGCTAGCTGGAAGGAAATCTGTGTCTAGTGTTAAAAAAAAATAACCAACTAAAATTGAAGTGGCCTATTTTAAAAGGTGAGATTTATCAGGAACTAATAAATCAAAAAAGAAAGGATAGAGAACGGTAAAGATGAAGGTGGAGATGGAAAGGACCAGAAAAATCTAAAGAGGAATTAAAAGATCTTAGCGCATAGGGATGGAAGGAGGGCTATATAAACAAGTATAAATAGTTTAATAACATGCACGTGGATTCTTGGGGTTAGTGGAGGGGTGGAGACAGATGGAGTTCAGACAACAGTGTGGGGAAAGGAAGGAGGATGAGTGAGAAGAAGAAAGAGGGATGAGTGAAGGGGGATGGAGGAAGGAGGAATCTAGTTGCCCCACCAGTCAACTTGAGAGTGTGAGTAGTTGCCTCCGTAGCCATCACTGGTGTAGAAGTTACCAAAACCACCTGAGAGGGAAGACACAGAGGAGAAAACTCAAAGTTAACAAAATAAGGGTGTATCAGTCACAAGTCAGTCCACAAGTACCAGAAATAATCTTTCCCAGTACAGAGTTGGTATGTAAAAATATTAAAGCTAAATAAACTATCCTGTGATCTGGAGCTATGGTACTTAGTCTAGAAATTAACTAAGGTTGTTAAAAATGTCAACAACTTAAGACCTTGATTCTCTCTAAATGTCTCTGATAACCATCCAACCTTCTCAAGCCGCAGTGGTGACCAAGTTAGAAATCTAGAGTAATTAATCAGAGGACACTGTGGTATATAGCATACGAAATATCTCGATTATAATGCTGATTTTCTGTATCAATTAGTTCTCCACTGAGGGCATCAAAGAGTAATGTTCTTTGATGAAATGCATTTGAGTTTATAATAAGCTTGAAAATAATATTTGGATTTGGAGATTTATTAGTCACATTTTCTTAAGCAGTTCTAGAAAAATTCTTGCCACAAGAAGAATGATGATATATATGGTATGAAATCATTGAAAAAACTAGTTATATCTACTAAATCCTCACCTCCTCCGAAGCCACGGGTTCCTCCATGTCCTGCCTGGTTGCGACCTCCTCGTCCTCCAAACCCTCCAGTGTTGGCTCCAGCAGCGGTCTGGCGATAATCACGTGCTCCAAAGCCTCCAGAGAACCTGGTTGTGAAATCAAATACATCATTTGTATTTGTAAACACACTTAACTTCATTACATTTAGACAAGAAATTCCCTTAAATGGAATTCATATTGACAGACAACAACACATTTACAAAATTAAGGAGATATATGTTTACCTCTTAGAGCGTCCTCTGTTGCTGCTCTTATGCTGGTGTTCATAGGCCAGGCTCTCAAGCCATGAGGGCACTTCCTGTTTGGCCTCTACTAGGATGTCCAGCAGGTCTTTAGTGATGTTCCCGTTCTTATCATTGAAGAACGATGTGGCAAGTCCTACAGGTAAAAAAGTATTAAGTAACCATAGAAGTAAATTGCAGCTTTTTGTGAGGTATATACTTGTTTTAATCATGTAATATATATCATGGGTACTTCCACTGACATTAGTTATAGTCTTACCCAGGTTTCCGACTCGTCCTGTACGTCCAATACGGTGGACATACTCCTCTATGTCGCTGGGCAGGTCAAAGTTAATAACATGTTTCACATTGGAGATGTCTAGACCCCGAGCCGCTACCTGAGCACACAATACATGAGCAGAAACAATATCAATATTCAATCAATATTTTGTGCTGATATTATGCGTGTGTAACAAACAGTATGCATTATAGTAAGTTTACCCATTTTCATGAGGATATCTAAATGATTTTATGATCAGTGTTTGTACCAGAATTTTACTTTTACTGACCGCTGTGGCCACCAGAATGGGGCATTTTCCTGATCTGAACTGGTTCAGGGCCTCCTCTCGGTCTCTCTGGGAGCGGTCGCCATGGATACTGGTGCATGCGTAGCCCTCCCGGTACAGGAAGTCCTCCAAGGCATCAGCACCTTTCTTGGTCTCCACAAAAACCAGAGTCAACGAGTCCTTACCTGGTCAACCGAGAGAAGAGACAATTGAGGTTAATCATTGAAGGTGAGAGGATAGTCATGGTCGGCGCATGATTCTTCTTTGGTTCTTCTGTGTTCAAACATCAGATTTTGAAGACGGCAAAGCTGTAGTCATTACATTTTATGAGTGAGGCTAAGTGGGTTTTAATTTTTTCTTTTTCTTTTAATCTGCAGTAGTAGAAAAGAAAAATAATCAGGAATCGTTTTTGGAGAAGCTTAATTTGCATTCCCATTTCACCATGAATAACAATGTCAAGTGCTGGGTATCGGTAAAAGAACCACACCTGAAGGAACAAGCAATCAAACTCTATACTCAAAATATTGACGTCAGCTTGCAAGTAGCTTTGTGGCTAAGCATTTTGATACAATTCGATGTGACACAATCTGAAGTTCTTGACACAGAAGTGAGAATATTTTCTGGGAGCTTGAGCTTGTGTTATTGTCAGGGAACATGATAATATCTAGAAAAAAATTTAAAAACTTAACTGGAAATTCACCAACTTCCTGTATCTCATTCATTTATTTATTTTTTAATAAAGAATGAGCTTTAAGTACAAAACTGAATCATAATGACAATCTAGAAATGTGAATCCTTCAATTTATCTAATATCAGTTTCTACGCATACTCTTCAGCCCTACTGGCAGGTTATATGTCTACTGCTAATGCAGCTTCAGTCTGTGATGTGATACATAAATCTTAATAACATGCACCTTAAGTAGTTAATAGTTCATATCACATTACAATAATGTTTTTCTACAAACAGAATAGTGCAGCAGGCAGCAGGGGGTGCAGCGTGACTAAAAACATAAATAAAAATAATGACAAGAATAAATAGCTAACAGCATCGGCAGCACTGTGACTAGAGCCACTGATGGAAAGAGTATGGTCAAAGTTCTTTCTCAATGCTCCTGCTCCAATAACATTATGACACCTGATTATGAAGTGAAGGCCATTAGCCCATATTTATCCACATTTATATCCACGTGTTAGCTGGTGAGACTACAGCATAACCAGACTCTCTCCATCAAGGATTTGGGTCTGACATGAAGACACCACAGCAACATACAGTACATAGAGAGGCCAAAAAAACTCTTGAAAACACAACAAGCATGTTTGGTTTAAGCTGAGCAAACCTGACTCATGAAATGGTACACAGAACCAAAAAATAACAGACTAAACACAGGATTCTCCACCACAGAGAAGAATATTAAAGGCAAGCAAAATTATTTAAAAATATGGAATGACAAATACAGGTTTCTTGATTGAGGATCTTACCAGGTTTCTCTATGTTGTCTCCAGTATTGTCCTGTACCTCGCTGGGGATGACTTGGGATAAAACCACACCAAACCACCAACATGTAAACTGCACTCAGTCACCAGTAGAAAACCAACTCTGTATGTTTAATGTTCCTGATGGACCAAGGGTTCGCCTCAGTTCACAAAATCTGTTTCACTACTATAAGAAAAACGCTTGTTTTCTAAACCACAAATGTGACTTTAAATGGGTTTTTACTGTAAACTGAAGGAAGAGAAAATATTTGTTGAATCCTTCAGGGTATGAATAACATTTCTTCTTATGGAACATTCTCACCATTGCCTTCCTCAGGCCAAAAAAAAAATAATTGGATGAAATGTCATCTATAAACCTTGCTGGATGTTTCTTGCTCAAGGCCTCCTGCTAATCCCCAGAAAGACAGAAAATGTGGATAGACTTTAACTGGGCAGCATGTTTAGGATTTTTAAACGCCTATTGATCTACCTGGTCTAAATGTATGTCTATTTTCATTAAAGGGAAAACTAAACATAACTATGTGAATGTTCTGGGCTTTTCCAAATGTTTCAAAATGGTTGACAGACAAGGTGTTGATGGGCGATACACTGAGGTAAACATGAGACACATAGTAATGTACTGGCTGAGATGTGAGGACGACAATATGACAATGACGAAAGGACAGGGGAAATAAAACTGCACTGTGTGTATATGTGTGTTTGCAGCTCGACACAGATGCACCTCTGAAGGTTATGAGTTATTGCTGTGTGACTGTCTCACCTGTAGCACTAAGCAGGTCCAGGAGGAAAGACCTCTTATCGCTCTCTTCCACCCACACCACTTTCTGAGTGATGTTCTCTGAGGTGGAACCCACCCTGCCCACTGCCAGGAAAATGTACTCCTCCAGGAAATCCCTGGCCAGAATCTGCAGGAGGAGCAGACGATTTTCAGCACTGGACTACTAAACTGCTACTACTACACTGAAGCACTGTTTCCAATTCAGATGCCACTGGTCCTGACATATGTCTTCTTTTGCTTTACTTGTTTTACTTTTACTAAGAGTACCTTTCAACCAAAAACTATGGAAAGGAACTATGGAACCAGAGGTTCTAATCTAAGGAACTAAATCAGAGGTCACAAACACACCTGGATCTCTTTAGGAAAGGTAGCACTGAACATCATGGTTTGTCGGATGCCTTTATGCGGCATGGTGTCTTGTTCGACGATGCGTCTTATCTGCGGTTCAAAGCCCATGTCCAACATACGATCTGCCTCATCCAGGACCAGGTAGCTGAAGTGAAGAAGACACAGAGGAAGAGGAAAAGGTTGTAGCATTTAAAATAAGGGTAAAACTCTCTGAATCAGTCCATGAAAGAAAAACTCCACAATTTTATCCATCACTCCCTCCTCCTGTCCATCTCTTACTTGCAGTAGTCCAGTCCAATCTTGCCCCTCTCCATCATGTCTACCAGTCTTCCCGGTGTGGCCACCAGCAGGTGGCAGCCTCTCTCCAGATCTCTGATCTGCTGGCCAATATCTGCTCCTCCATACACAACACAGGGACGCACTCTGGACCGGTAGGAAAACTACAAATAAAACAAAAAGGATGAAGAAATACATGAGTAAATGTTTTCCAGTAATTTTTTGGGCTGGGGGTGTTCAAATTAATGTGTGTGCATGCTTGTATATACCTTCCTGGCTTCATCGTATATTTGCAATGCCAGCTCTCTGGTTGGAGCCAGTACCAGAGAGATGGGGTACTGCTTACGACGCCCATACTTCCCATTCTCCTGAAATACAGTGACAAAACCACAAAACATTAGCTCAGTGAAATCAAGAATTCACAGAATGGACACCATGTCAAACATAAATATGAGCTTTTTTTGCTTCTTTTTGAAAGGAGAGTACCTGGTCTACGGTCTTTTACAGAATGGTGCATTATGGGTGATTTTTAGCCCTATTGATGTTGCTAGGCTAGTGAGTGTTTGAGTCCCTCTCTAGTGAGTCTTTCAGAGTTAATCGGCCTTAAAAATGTTTCATTAGTCCAGTTTAACCTGCAAGAGTCTCTGAAGGCTGGTGTAATGTGTTACGCTGCCACAGAGGAAATAAATTCATGACATGTGAAAACAAGTTCTTAGCATCACCTGACATCTTTACTGCAGAAAACGCCAGGGAGAAAATCTGTCAAACAGCAAGAATTACAGTTGTCATAGATGATGAACTCAAAAAGACTGAACTCTGAAAAATGTTGATGTCAGAGAAAATAAACTAAGCGAGAGATGAGAGTGAGAGAGGAATGGACTCGCTACGGTAACTCAGTCAGCTGACTGGTGGCCATGGGGAAAGTGAGCTGTCTACAGATGTCCAACTGAACAAACATTTTGGTAAGCGGCCAAAACTGTTACATTGTCGGATGGTTATGGGGAGGAGGAGAAAATTGCAGCTTAAATCCATTTACTATAAGTCTTATTTTACCAATGTTACTTTGTTACAGTGCGATCACTCACAAAAATGTGAAGGATTACTTCAAGACATAGCACTCACTTCATCAGTGAGCTTATTTATTTTGCTTTTCTTCTTGCCAATGTCTGAGTGTACTGTGAGAAACAACAACCTGTGTTGTTTTTTTATAAATACTGTAATGATAATGGTCCAAAACGATGTGAAAATGCATATTCTCAGTGTCTGAGCCCTCCAGTTACCTAAGGAAAACCCTATTTAGTACATTTAACTGATGATTTAAGTCATTATACCCTGAATCACAGCTTTCCTTTAATGGTATAATAAAACTTACATTAAGTCTGAACTTAATGTAATGTTTTTGTTTGACCGGTGAATACAGTGTAACAAAATGATCTATTCTAAAAAGTTTATACTTTCTAACAATAACTCATTGTAGGTCAATAAGGAGGCTTTCGGCTTAGAAACTGATCCATGCGCTTTAGTCTATTTAGGAACCTTGAGGAAATAAAGTGCCTGGATTCAGGGGCTTAGAGTTTTTGCTCACCTGTCCAGAGGATTTAACTGCATTAAGAGCTTCTCCTGGTCCATCAGTGTAGATTTGGCTGAGAATCGGCAGCAGGAATGCCGCAGTCTTCCCAGAACCTGCAGGCACAAAGTCATCCTTGTCTGTCTACCTCCACATGCTTTCAGCAGAGTCATGCTTTCATAGCATCATTCTCAAGAGTCTAAAATCAGTATATTACTGTGTTTTATTCCTGGAGAGGTGATGGACTGTATGTATGTGTGTATGTTCTACCTGTCTGTGCGCAGGCCATGAGGTCTCTCTTTGACTTGACAATAGGAATGGCATATTTCTGGACAGGCGTTGGTCTGGTGTAGCGACTCAGAGCTATGTTACCCATGACAATCTCACCCATGTCCACATCTTGGAACTACACAGCACACACACACAAACACAACATTTACAAAAACAGCAGTGACAAGTAATCATGCAGCTGATATTTAACATTGTTAAATTTCTGGTAGCTTACACTCTCAATGTGGTGAGGGCAGTTCTGTCCTGTGGCTTCAACAGGAATGTCATCGTATTTCTCAAAATTAATCCCAGTGTTACTGCCAGAGAACAACTCACTACAGAGAATCAACAAAAGGAGAGTAAATACAGGTTAATCCAAAGAATTTTAAGCAGTTTAATGATTTGCAATAATTAGTGTACATCCAGTATAAAGCTGATAACTGCTATCATTTCTCGGAGGATTCTCATCAAAAGATCTTTTCAATTTCAATGACCAACTGAAATACCAAGATGCTGGTGCTGGTGATGATATAAAAAACAATGACTTTCATATGTTGTGTTTGTTCATTTGATGTTATTCCTAATCAGTGACCCATTTCCTTGATATTCCCTAATCTTCCTGCAAAGTTTATTAAATTTCCCTATCTGGACTACACCCGTCATGACCAGCAAAAGCACGGACTCACTGTTCAAGGCGTTCGTTACGTGGTGTTGGTTTGGACCAGTCTCCGTCATCTCTGGACTCTTCCACCCAGCGGCTGTTTCCTCCTCCTCCTCCACCACCAAATCCACCATGCTCGAACCTGACGAACACAAAGACGATGATGAAACGAGATGCTGATGTGATGTTTTCCAAATTCTATGCGCCGCAAGAGGTGAACATATTGCTTTTATATTAAACATGGGAATTTCTATGGCACCTTTACCTGAAAACAAAGAAATATTTTGACAGAAGTTATTCAGTCTGTCTCTGTGTCTCTTACCTCCCTCTGTTCGCATTGCCTCTGTCATTGAAGAATGCAGACTTCCCTCGATTGTTTCCAAAACTGCTGTAGGCATCCTTGTTCGTGTTCCAGCCGCTGGCGTCTGACAGGAGAATGGACACAAAAGTACAAGACAGTTTCACACATTCAGTAATATGACAAAATATAACAACAGTCTTCAGCAGAGAGTGAACAGGAATACAGCTGGTGCTTGGACAGAATTGTGGGTGATGTTTACTGTGAAATAGTTTGATGCGTGATTTTGATTTTTGACTTTTATATCCACAAAGGCTCCTATTCACCATTACTAGAACAGCTCTGCACAGCATCATCAGTGGCATTTAATCCTCCTTTGGTTCTAGTTTTGGATATACATTATACATTTCTGCATGTTCACTAAGGACTGTCCTGCTGCTCTACCTGATGCCTTATGTCAATAAGGGCTAGTTGTAGCTGCAAATCTAAAAATTTTTTTTTTTTTACTTAACTGCTATAATTCCCATTACAGATTATAGATTGCTTTCATTTAAACTAGAACTCATTCATTCTCCATATTATTTCTGCTTTATTTTTTCCATATTTTCCTGTGGAAATAAAAAGATCATGTGCACTAAAATTCAAAGTATTCAAATATGAATTTATCATTCTAGGAGCAGGTTTTTTCCTTAAACACAAGACAAGTTGCAAAGCAGATTTAAGTTGAATGCAGTGATGCTAAATACCTTTATTTTCGTAGCCACCAAATCCCATTGGTTGCGCTGGGTTAATGGGATTGAAGGATCCTCCCCTGTTGCCACGGTAACCACCTCCTCCGACGCCACCTCTGCCCCGCTCCATACGAGGTGGGCCCCGGTTAAATGAGTTGCCCGTCATCCGGTTGTCATGGTAGCCATTAACAAAGTTGTTGCGCCCCCCATCCCAACCATCTGCAGAGGGAGAAAGGACACTGAATGATCCAAGAATCACAAAACAGCACATCTGCAAGATTATTACTCATCACTGCTGATTAACGTTCAATTCTTATTGCTTACCAATAGCAGATTGAGCAAGATCACACATTACCTATTATCCCTTTCACTGTGAACATTATGGAATCATATGTAGTAAGAAAACAATTAACAATCTTTGAATCTTCTGAATTAAATCTTTAAATATTGCTTTTACTGCAAAGTTACAAAATGACACTAACATTTAAAAGTAGGCTGTAGACAGGCTATGTTTACACACAGTGAACAAATATTTAACTGCTAGGTTTTTAGAGGGAATTTTGTAAAGTTTTCATCTCAACAAACAAATGTATTGGGATTACTGTTTACTGTAGGTGTTATGACTTGCAAACTTTTTTTTTTTTTTTTTTAAATTTGAGGGTCTTTGGTGAACTCTGCCTGTGCTTAGAAAATAGGAGTTTTCAGTTTTTTTTTAACTATGCCTTGGCTGTTGCAGCTCATTTGCCACCACAACAACAGCACACAGCTAAATGATGAACTTACAGTTGGCTGGAGGCGCCATGGTGTAGACACCTTGTCGACCAGCAGCAAAGGCATTTCCTGCTGGATGGGAACAAAGTGTTTCAGTTGTGGTTTTTATCAGTAACAGCTAGTTAATAAAGGTGCCTTATGGAGTTTTTGACCACAAGTGGCATTATAGAGCAATGTTTTGACAATGAGCCATGTTTTGCTCACATCCTGCCACCAGTTTCACACTATGGTAGAGACGTGCAAAGCACGGCGCCAACAGAGACGGGAAAGAAGACACCTGGAAGCTAATTAAAGAGTGTGCTATTTAAAATATTCACAAAATTGGCTTTGCAAATATTTAATGAGGAAAAAATACAAGGATTCACACAATGAATTTTGGTGAATATCACTAAAAGTAAATATAACTTTGCTTTTTTATTGTTTAAAGCAAAACTCCACAGGACAACTTTAACTTGACCCCACTCACCATTTTTGGAAGCGTCTTTGTTCCGTAAATGTGGAGGAATGTATCGCCCTGTAGACAGAGACAACATCAGTAAACTGAGTTTCCTTCCTTAGAGGTCTCAGAATCTGAATGTATAATAATATAAAATCTAAATAAAGACACAAAGCCACCAAAACCACCCTAATTCTGATTGACTGTGGCAACTGCAGGTTGAGGAACTTCGAAATGAAAGAGCAGAGCGGGAAATTTTAGATGCACTGTAAACATGCATTTTCATAGGGCCTCAACCCTGCTGCAAAAATTCATTATCTAGTCCGGCCTCAAAGATGCATTTTAATTTAATTTAATTGAAATAAGTCAATAGAACAGTTTTTATTTTTAAAAGTTTTGTATTCCCCTACACTTTCCGGTCCTTCCCAATTTATTTTCTATGGAGCATGTCCTTGTTTGCTGTCTTTATGATAGCACCACTCTTGTTACCATTGTTTATTATATGTGGAGATAAAATGTCCAGTTTTGTGAGTGTCTGTGCACATTAATTAGTCAGAGAAAATGAAAAGTTCTAACACCTCCAACAAAAGATTTTGGCTGCTTACTGTTAGTGCCTCCACCTTGTCCGTCTGCTGCACTCAAGTCTAGGACAGCAAGCTGGAGAAACAGAGACAAACAGTCAAAGAAACAGACCACATATACACTCATTTTCAGCAGAGCAAACTGTCTACCCTTATTCATCTATTTAGACACTTTTATTTTACTGAACTGCAGCAACATCTCTTTTCATTTTTACCAAAATTGGGGTTTTTAATAATTATTTTTTTTACTCCAAATTTCCATTGCCTCCCTGCAGGATTTTCCCCCTGCAAATTGAAACTGAACATAAAAACAGATGGGTGGAAACTCACTTAATGTGAGTTGAAACAAGAGCTCACTGAGTCATGGCCAAAACGGTCATCTGTATAAAATGCTTTGAGCCCTTACAGATCACCAAACTGCACTGTAAAAGCTTTTGATGATGGAAAATATCAACCATGCTCTTGGCTGTAGGAGCTGTCATGTTTCTACCTGTAAAACCCTCTTTCTACAGCAGATGACACCAAAATCTGCTACCTACTTGAAAACTAGAGCAAAAATTTATTTTTTGTTTATCTGTCATAATAAGCAATGTGAAGGCTTTGCTTACAAGCCCTAAACAGAATCTGACCAGTTCGGATTCACAGGAAAAGGACACATATGGTTCTGGCTTTTTTCATTTCAGTACCAGACAACTCTGCACACTAGTTTGAAAAATGTTTGAACTAGTCTTCAACACACAGAAATCCTATTGTGGTTCTGTCAGCAAACAGCTGGTCTGAGATACTTCACAACAAAGGATAGCAAAGTGAGGAGAAGCAAACGATTTTATGTAGCTGCATCCAGCTTTTAGCAATCCAACTGCTGTTGAGGAAACCACTTTGCATGTTATGCTTTCATTGGGATGGGAAGCTCTTCCACATTGTAGCAACATTTAATGAACTGGGCCGATAATGTTAATTTCTGTATATAAACCATCCCAGTGCAGCTTTTTTTGGCATCCTAACTAAGACAGAGGATTGTTAACATTTTTAATGGAGTCAGTGTTGTGCATCATACTCTCTCGCATTCATTTTGCCAGTTAAACATTTCCTAAATATCAATTGAGAACATAAGGTACTTTTCTGTTGCCATCCAACTGTCTGGTCGGTCAGACACAGATAAACTACGTTGCTGGTGACGCAGATAAAATGACCATTTTTAAGCGGGACACAGTCAAGATTAGCGTGAAAACTGTGCAACACTGCGTATCATCTAAAAGCCGGTGGGCTACACTGTCAAACGCCGCATTGTTTGTGTGTCAGCCCCGCTAGCTCCGTCCCCGCATACCTCCATTTTATTATTGTATCAAGCTGCAACACAAACGCAGTGAAGATAATAGTTGAAAGGTGCGTTTCATATGTACACACAGGAGAGCCGACGGAACCACTCCGGCGTCATTTGTTATTAAGCTCTCCGTTACAATTAATAGCTTATCCGCAATACAAGTGAAATATCATGTATATCAACCAACATTACAGGTTTCTTAAAACATTTGGATAACTCCCAGACGTAGCATACGCAGTTATAACCCAATGTTGAGGTGGCAGTTTAACCAAACGTCACTTGGCCCGCTACCCGCTCCGCAGTTACTTTGGTCATGCCTGTGCTTATTTGAAACGCACCCAACGCCAGCTAGCAAGATAGCATCTGGTTAGCGGTGTTTTTAAGCTAGCCGGCAAGCTAACACTTATCCCTGCCGTTATAACATTTTACATCAACTGACGCTGCAAGACAAATTTAAGTGACGTGGCTTACCTGCTGCTCTAGACCGTGGGCATTTTCGACGGCCACATGACTCATAACTATAGAATATGGAGGAAAAATGTTGTCGTTGAAAAAAGGACCTCTTTGTTTGCCGGGTTTGATGTAATGTTATTTCTCCTTTGCCTCTGCCCTGTTTCTGTGGTTACGACAGATGACAGTTATTTCATTGGCTCACAGCTGTTATACGTTACTTCATAAAATGCTATTTAACGTAATTTAACGTTATGAAAAATTCCTGTATTTTAAATACAAGGATGGCACTTCATGCAAACTCAGCTGATGTCGATTAGCTCTCCAGCTGAAGCTGAGATGAAGCCGTTATGTACTAGTCAAGTGAGTCTTAATAAAACAGAAATATACATCCGGTGACGCCAAAATAAAAGTCATTCAACAAACCCGAGGATATTTCGGTAGATATGTAGATGGTTTAATTAATCTTACTATAGTCATATCAAATGAAAACCTAGTTCGCCTTAATAAAATATGACTTTACTGTGGTAGTTTTGTTGCCCAAAACTCGTAAAGATGAGTCACTTTAAAGGGATATCTACTAAATGCTGGTGCTTACAGTCTTAACTATATATTACACACTTCACATAGAGTTATGGTTAGTTATAATCAGGTAATAGACCCTGTTTATAAAATTAAAAAAATATTCTAACCTTTAATTTTCAGTGAAACCCAATTCCCTTACTTCCGGGCCGTCGTTGTCTAACATTGGGTAACTTAACCGACTCATCTTTAATCCAGACACCGCGAGACTTTAACCACAGTTTGTCGCGATATCGCCGCTGCACAGGAAAAACGAGCACGGTGCAGATATTAGTTTTCATATATATAATTGGTTATTGGTTATATATATTGTTTTTGTTCAGTTACTTTTTTATAAACTGATGTACAAATATAAATATTCTCACGTCTATTTCACTGTATTCCCTTACTGCTTAGTCTGATTTTAATACGCTACATTGTACATTATATTCAAAATGCCATTCATACACTCTTTGATTTGAAAAAAAGTTTGTAGTAAATATGATGTGATACCTTAAGTGATCTAGTCTCTCATCCTCTATTGGTGAACAATAATAATTTAAACAACAGTCTCAGGTTTGTGACAAAGTTGATGGGAAACTGTAATTAATACAAAGAGAAGATTACATACAGATTACAGTTAAACTGTCTAATAACAGGAGGACGAGATTTTAGTGGACTAGTGTGAAAAGGTCTGCAAATTCCAGACAGCGGTGAGGATGAGCTGAACAAAAACAAGACCACTGGAAGACAAGGTGGAACAGCTTTGCATTCAGGTAGTATTTTAGTCAGAAATTCACTCCCAAGAGACAAAGATGAAAAGATAGTGACTGCATACAACATACAAGTGATTATATTTTCCCCTCACCTGTTGTTTTCTCCTTTCATGACTTTGTCACTGCTGATTTGCCCGTAATTTTGCTTTGCCAGCATCCTTGTTTTGTTTGTTTAGCATTTGATTTGTTCTTTAACTTGGCTCTCTTGCTGTTATTTCCTTTGTGGTTTTGGTTGGTTGGTGACTGTGCCGGCTGTCCCAGTCCTTTGTTATAACATATGTCATTTCATTTTGAAAGTTTTTTTTAATTTTTATATACAGTCTTATGGGCACATGTTGGTGGTAATTCAGTGCACGGTAACCTTTCTTTTGCTTGCCTTGCTTGTGTGTGTTTTGGTGTTGGAGCATATGGGTATTTTGCTAGAGAGTGTAAGAATTGAATTGACTGAACTGAATTGTGTTAACCACTGAATGTGTCATGCCAGGTATCTGTTTACTTTCATACTCCCCACTCTTGAGGCTTTTCTAGCATGTTACAGCCATCTATTGAATGGGGACTCCCTGCTCATGTCAGAATTTCAGTGGGACGTTTAATAGTAAGTGGGTTTGGAGTCAGACTTCCCACTTGTGGATGAAATGAGTAATGACAGTTTCCACATAGAGGTGTATAGTAATAACAATAATGATAATAATAATAGCAGTGGATGTGGTAAGTGGCGCACATGATCCATGATACATGATGTGAAACTCAGTAAAATGGCAATGGTTTTCTGGGAAATAACACCAAAGGAAACAGGTCAAATTTGAGACCACAACATTATAGTTGCTATCACAGGACATCTTCATAATGAGGGAAATTTCTGACTAAAACTGTGGTGCAGAGTTTGTGAAATGGTAACATTTAACGCCTTTGTTGTGTTGTGGTGTGACCACACTCACTTTCCACCTTTTGATCTTCAAGATTAACAGCACTGCGAATGCATCAAAGGAAAACCCCACTGCATCGTCACATTTAGTTATTTCTTTTTTCCCCTTTTCACTGCCTTTGTCTCTGCACCTTCATATGGCATGTTTGACAGCAAGTACGCACATCTATAAAAGGCCCCTCAGAGTTTGTGCATACCTGTGTTTGACAGGATCAAAGCTCAGAGGACCGCTGTCATATTTGATAAGGCTAAAAGGTACATCAGGTGCATGTACACACCCATGTTCAGAGCACATTGTGACAACTGCCAATTAACTAACTCCAGGTAAAACTGGTCTAAATCCCAATTACCTTCCTCATGTTGCATTTACTCTACAATGAATGACCTATTAAATTCTAACTTGGATCACTTCATATGTGTCTCTAAAACTCCATTTAAACCTGATATTAACATGCAATCTGTATCTCATCTGGAAAAAAGGAAAAACAAATGTTAACATAGGTGTAAATTCAGGCAGAATTATGATTGAAAAAAACCCAGATTTGCCAGATTTGCATGTGAGATCTTCTAGCAATGTGGTTATAATTGAGATAAAAAAAGAGTGCTTATTCATACCAGGTATAAATGTAAAAACCTGTGAATGTAACACAGATCACATGTTACTAACAGGTAGAAATGGGGTGTTAATCTGACTTAATTTGTGTTAATATGACCTCAGACATATGGAAATGAATTCATCTTCAACATTCTTCATGATGCTGGTGGCTGGTCGCTAGGTTGCATTATGGGAAATGAAGGATCCAGTGTATTTGGGACTAAATATGAGGACATCTCACCCTCACCCTCTGCTTCAATTTTTTTTTTTTCAAATCAAGTGGGTTAACTGTGCTCAAAGGGAAGTTGTGTATCTCCATTTTTCCCACTATGTCAAACTGTGTTGGTTTTACTGACACATATCCATAACCCTCACTCTGACGCTTGTTCGCACAGTTTTCCTATAAACAGTACAAAGAATGCAATCCTTCTACTTTTAGCATTTGTGTCAATGACAGGCTGACCATATTGGTTGGTGGTAGAGGTCTACAGCACTGTGTGAAATCTGAGGATGTCGCAGGGTTTAAACTGCGACCCACAACCACATTCTCCACATACACATATACATTTTTTTCTGCGGTTTATAGTCACTTTCCATTGGCTTGCTAATTTTATATATTACCACAAAGCCGTCAGACCCCACATGTATAGTTGGTTCCCACGAATATAGTGCAACAAGCCCCCCCCCCACACACACAGGATATTTATTCGGTGGCTTGGTCAAATTGAATATAAGCTTCCGTTGAGGAGCAGATTAATATTGAGACTACACAGCTTATCTGCTACACTGCTGATTAGTTCTACAATAAATTACTAAATGCATAGTATGTAATACATCATATCTAATCACATCAGAAAAATTTCATTTCATATCAAAATGAAACAAAGAGAGAAGCTCAACAGGTAGCAGAGCAAGTTCATCTGGATTATGCAACACTGTAGATAATTTGAACACTTCCTCCATTTGGACTCTCCATCGAAAGTAAGCACTGGCAAAATTGGTCTCTTTTTGGTGATTGTGCACATCAAATCCAACGGTCACCTTCAAATGAAATCTAGCACCAAATTGCTGCAAAGTAATCACAAACTTCTGCACCCTTTGCACACATTGTACTAGTTTGTTATGATTAATTATTTAACATATGGAAGGTCTGGAAGCAGAGCCACATTGAAAACAGTCCTCACAGTCCCATAATTAACTCCCTCAGGACTGTCAGCTGGCAGCCATCCTCTCCTGATATCCAGCAGGACCAGGCTACCAGCATGGCCAGATTAACTTGTTAGGAAGCCCCAGGGTAAAAATTTGTTGTTGGGCCCCCGTTAGCCCCGTTTGACTCCAAGCAGGGACATTTGCAGCATGTAAAAATCCCTCTGCCTCACTCCCATGTTTCCTGTCTGTTTCTCATTCTGCTAGCCGATAAAGGCAAAATGATACAAAATATGATCTTATAAAAATGAATTAGCCATGATGGTCAACACCCATATGATATATGATAATGTACTCCTTCAAATCCCAACATCAGGCAAAGCACAGATGTAAATAATAAAAAGAACGATGGCTGAATTCCCTTCAGCTGCTCCAGTTTCAGGGTCCTGGTATGGTGCATGCTGGCCCACTGTCATGGCTTACTGGGACAAAAGACAAAACAGCAGCCAGCGTTGTAGGATTATGAACTTGAAGACACCGAAAAAAGAAAAAAAAAAAAAAAAACCTCTAACCCATCATGTCATTTTTTGCAGCAAGCTTGTGTGGGATGGGTCTACCCAGTAACTTTCCACTTCTGGTCTGTAACTTTCCACTGCAGCAGGGGCTGTTGTTCATCACCTCTTCGCTGACTTGAGTGGTGGCATGTTTGCTTGTTCTGGTGCCTTTTAATAGAGTATGTCAAGTCTGTTTCACCTGCTGGTTCACATTTTGTCCATGCCATGCCTCATATCGTCTGTTGTGAAGCGGAAGTTTTACTTTGAAATTCTTTCCTTCCTATTGTAGCTCATACATCACACGCTACACTACCAGTGGATTCCTAAATCACAATACTTGCAACAACAGCCGGGTGATAAGTGCAAATCACAAAATAGGTGCTTTAAACTGCAGGTGACTGTAAAGACAACAAGCACTGAATATATGAGCAGGTGCATTATTTTGCAAAACCACGTGCAGCTGAGGACGATGTGCAGGCATTTAGTCATAAAGCAAAGTATTGAACAAAATGAAATTGTGACCAAAGGATGCTGTTAGATAAAAAGGTTATTGTGGAGAACAACTTTCCACGGCAATCCATCCAATAGTTGTTGAGATATTTCAGTCTTCAGAAAAGTGGTGGATTTTTAGTGTGTATTTAGTAGCAGGGTGTTCCTGAACATGGCACACTGTTAACATACAGTGGCCCTCATGCATAGATCCTGGTGGAGGCCTTTAAACGGAGCAGGACGACCGGTTTGGTAAGATGTTTGTTTTCCAGTAGGAAATGATCTGTAAGTCCCGAATGGTTTAATAGTCTATGCAGTGCAGGGAGAGAGCGATTACATAATACGATCATTAGTTAGCGAGAGCATATTTCTAATCTCATGCGAATAAGGCGAGCAGCAGTGACTGAGACTTTGGATGGGACAGATATTTACTGAAAGGAGACTGATCTCGGTAGTTCCATCCTTATTTTTATTGTGCAAAACAGATGGTGTAAGAAGTGTCAAAATGTAGGAAGACAATCTAGAACTGGCACCTCAGATTATTCCTGAGAAAATCCACAACAGGCTTGACTTGATCAGTTTCTCTTGCATAGAATAGGTTGTAATTTATGCAAAGCGCTCCCCTTCACATCTGTAATCAGGCCTAATATCATTTCTTACAAATAAACATAATAACATCATTCAAAATTACGTTTCTAAAACTTTAAACTACATGAGTGGAAGACACCGCTTGAGGTCTACAAAACATGTTGTATTGTTTTTGAACACTTTGAGCATGAGCAGATCGCCTACAACACGCTTCATGTGTATGTGCGATAATAACAAGATATTCTCTCATACTCTCTGATGTGTTGAAAACGACTGCCCGTTTAAATACAAAAGACAAAAAAGAAAACATAATAGGATAAGTTACACATTTCCAGTAAAATGAAAATTAAGGCAAAGTCACTGCAGATTTCACATTCACTATGAATTTTCATATCGTGAAAACATCCCCATGGGGACAAATTCAAGAATATATTACTGTATCTGTACACAACAAAAGAATGTATGTCACAGTCAAATGTAAATTCAGTTAAGAATTTAGTTGAGAACTTGTAACTTGTTACGATTTGGATTTGGATGTGCAGTCATAAAGTTATAGGCCTGTATGCTGTAACTTCAATGACAAAAGTATCCTTCAGCTTTAGGAAACTGTCACTTTTTGTAAAGTTGGTCTACGGCATGCTAAAGTGTTACCAATGGGACCAATCTTGTTTTTGTGTATTTCTTTTAACAAATAATCTATGTAACATGATGTTTTTGTTGTGTAGGTTACATGGAAAATACCACAGTATAAAAAGAAGAGCTATAATTTAATGATGTTCTCCTGAAGCAGACGAGCGGTATTCCTGTTCACCATACTGTGAAAAAGAAAAGTGGAGAAAAAAAAACTGTAGGATAAAACATGATCCGCTGCTTAATGGAGCCTATAAGGAGAAATAGATAAAGAGAAAGATCCCTACAGAGCAAATCACCACCAGTCCTGTGTTCAGGATGATTCTGGCTCGTGGAGGTTCGTAGAGAAGCTCATCCACAATCTTCTCCTGTTCCTGAACTGTAATGACCTGAGCTTTGGATGGTTTCTCATGGAAACCACAGAACCACTCTAAAACCTTCAAACACCTCCCACCCTCCACTTCCCGTCCTCCAAAGCAGCCCTCCTCCTCCTCCCAATCCCTCACTCCTCGCCCTTCTCCTTCCTCTACCATTTTGGGATCAGTTCTCAGTGCATAGCAACCGTTCTGAACTGGATGTTGGGTTTCCATGTTAGTGGCTGTGATAGCATGACCATTGCTTGGTTGAGCATTTTCATGATTGGGCTCAATGCCATGGAGCTTGTTTGGCTGGTCTTCAGACTTTTCTTTACCAAGCAAACAGTTTCCATTTAAGGTTTCTTGGTTAAGAGGCTTAAGAGTATTGGTGTCTTCTGCAGCTTTTCCTTGCTGTTTTAGCCTCTTTCTCTTGTTTAACCCCCACAGAGTAGTTGTTCTTATTTGTTCTCTTCTCGGGGGAGGAGTGCAGAGACTCACAACAACAGTCACCAAGGCTGACACCCAAAACAAGATGGCTGCCACATACATGAAATGGACATCTTTGATGAAAGACGGCCGCTCATCAGGCTGGTCGCAGTGTGGTTCACGGTAAACAAACGCCAGCACCAGTCGCAGTGCTCCGAGTGCAAACCCTACCATCCCACCCCAAAAGGCACCCGTCTCATTGCAGCGATGGCACAGGACACCAAGCAAGAAGAGAGCAGCTATGGGTGGCGTCAGATAATCTGATACTTCTTGGATGTAATAGAACATCTGGCCTCCCTGCATCTCAATGATTACTGGCACCCAGGCAATGCTGATGATCACCATAAAAACCACAAACAGTCTGCCGACTATCACCAGCTCTCTGGGTGACACCCGCTTCCGTAGCATCTTGTAAATGTCCAGCGTGAATATGGTGCTCGCTGAGTTGAAAATGGAGTCCAAGTCGCTCATTAGAGCTGCGATCATGACCGCCATCATCAGGCCGCGGAGACCAACAGGCATCACGGACATGACGAGCCGCGGGTAGGCCACGTTGCTACAGCCAGCCGCGGACTCGCACACTTCCATGCAGTGCTCTGGACTGATACACGCCAACTCATCGGCAAAGAGGATCCTGGAAATCATCCCTGGGATCATGATGATAAATAAATCAGGCATTTAGAGAGTCTACGGGAGGATTTTATGCGCTGTTCGCTCAAAAAGCAATGAAAGGCGTTACCTGGGATGACAATGATAAACATAGGGAGGATTTTCAGGAAGCCAGCCATGAGGGTAGAACCTTTGGCGTGGGCGATGTTCTTGGCTGCCAGAACTCGCTGGACAATCACTTGATCAGTACACCAGTACCTGGAACACACAGTAAGGATGATTAGAGTTAACAACTAGTCTGAAGAAGAAAGACCTGATGATTTAGGATAAATCTTCTGTGGACCATGAATATTCATATATATATATATATATATACACATATATATATAAACCTACACAGAACTGAACCAGTTAAAAAATTACATCTACATGGAACGACTTAGAAAATTACCAAATAGAAGCAGGAGTCTGGCCCAGCAGAAAACCAGGCCAGGGCAGGTCTGGATCCCTTGGGCCTCGTAGGATCTTCAGCGCATCTGGCTTCGGGTTGAGGTGGAGGTGGCAGGATTCAGGGTCCGTCAGGTTGGGAAAAGACTGCGAAATGGCAGTGATGTTTGGAGTGGCCTGCATGTACTTGATCATCATGCCTTAAAATGACACAGCAGGACATGGTTTACCAGAGGGAAAGCATACACATCAAATTGTAGTTTATCAAATAACATGGTATTAACTGTATAACTTCAGTGCACAAAGGACCTTCAAGTCCTCCCACTTTGAAGAGGCTGATGATGGTAAGACAGAGCGCTCCAGCGATCATCAGGAATGCTTGGACTGTATCGGTGTAGATGACGGCAACCAGACCTCCGGTGACTGTCAGCAAAGCAGTCATGGTGATGAGCAGGATGATTGACAAATAGAGGTTCCACCCTAAAGATTCCTTGATAAACAAGGCCCCTGCATAGAGGTCCACGGACAACTTGGTGAAGATGTAGAGGATCAGAGATAATGCGGCGAAATACACCTTCAGTCGCCTCCCTCCGTACCGTCTGGACAGATACTCTGGCATGGTGTAAACTCCAGACAGAATATAGACAGGGATAAACATCCAGCCTAACAACTGGAGTAACAATAGGGCGTTGAATTCCCATGCAGCCACGCTGAACCCACTAGCTGCACCAGATCCAGCAAGCCCAATAAAATGCTCACTTCCTATGTTGCTGACAAATAGAGAGGCTCCTATGGCCGCCCAATTCATGGAGCGACCTGCGAGGAAGTAGCCGCTCACTGTGCTCCGATTGGCTTTCCACATGGCCAGAAAGCCAATCGCTAGCACCAGGATGAAGTAGATTGCTACAACAATGATGTCTGCCACTTCCAGAGTAGTAGCCCTGGCCATGTTTGAACACTTTTGTGGCTGTTAAACAAAACTCTGTTAACTTCTGAGCTATTTGAACTGTTTTTTCCTGATGCGCAATCTTCACCCTTAATTACGTCTTTAAATTTGACCTGGGTGTCAAACAGTGGTCAGTCAGTGCTACTCAGCTTTGTAGGTGGGCAACAAAAATAATAATATACCTTTATCTGCACATTGTTATATATACAACATAAAGCAACCATAAAGGGAAGGCGTAAGATAATTGTTCCTTATAGTAGTCTTCCAACTTTTCGATCTTTTGTAGTTAACCCCAGTTTTGGGAATCAATGCAGGCTGTGACTTGGCAGCTTCCAAAATGGCAGTGCATTGTATCTGAGTTTTGACTGAGGGCGCCACAAGAGATGAGAAAAGGGTCATCTGGATCCTGCAACAAAACAGAAACATGCACATGAAATGTCTCTTATTTCCAAAGCAATGTAAAAGATTCTGTAACCAGGGGAAGTGATGGATAAGACAATAGGAAAAAAAAAACAATAGGCAAAATGCAGCAACATCACACTAGGTAGACAAGCCAAGAAACCAGTCAAACAGCTGCCTATTCATTTAATTACATAATGTAGATAATACACATAATAAAAGCATAATGTATCCATGAGATCTGCTATGACTTTCTTAAATATTTACTATGGTATCGCCTACAAAATATGTTCAGTTTTCCAATAAAAAATGAATGCTATCAAAATTAGATGAATAAAGGAAATCTCTTGACTAATGCAACCCCCTGCTGACATCAAGACCCCTGCAAGCTGTGTAAACACAGAAAGCATGTTTCTTTTCTTTTCTGTCCTGTCTTTCCGATGCACCTGCACAGCAGAGCCTTTCGTGAAGCCCATTGTTCCCTCATGTCTGCGGCCTTTTTCAGAGGGTGGAGGAGGCTGGAAATGACAGCTCAGTTTAAGAGAAGTCAGCACTTAACCCTTTCTGCCAAGCTGCCCTTTTAGAGTGACTGAGCACCTCTGAGGGGAGTGGATTGAAGAAGTGGCAGATCACATCTCGGCTGCTCTCTAGTTGCGGGACTGCAGTGTGAGGGTCCTGCATTAGGGCTGGTGTTTGTGTTTGTTTCCCATGTTTATTGCTGAGTGGAGTGCTCTGGTCTGTGGAGGACAGCGAGTCTTTAGAAAATCAAAATCTCTCCACACAGCTTCCCTCCATTCACTTTATTTTAGCTCTGTGCAGGCTGCAGGAAAATGTTCCAGCGCGGTAAACGACTGGCAACAATAGCATCAGTGACATTTCCCCACCAGGGGAAAATAGTACATTTCCAGTATTTGCAGGGTTTATACTTGATGCTACTTGCAGCAGAGTCAATATTGATTTTAAATAATTAGTAGGAGGCTAACAGACTTCTTGAAGGGAACGCTGGGTAAACAGAGGTTTTGTTAATTCTATTAGGAGACCTTTGTCAAACAAGCACCTGCAATGAGGTTTCATAACATACACAGGTTTAGTCATTGCACCGCCTGTCAAAAGACTATTTTATTCCAGTCCATTAACCACGGGGACTCAGGCCATAAGCTTTGAAGGTTATTTGAACCAATGGCATATCCATCATGTTATTAAAGGGTTCATGTAATATTACTAATCATCTCTAAGTGAAACCACAGGGTTACTTTTTTTTATGATATTCCAATATTTTGTGGTTGCTTTGCTTTTGGCCATACTCTTACAATTCGTGTGAATCTAGTATTTCTGTAACACTTCAGGGACTTTCTGTGACAGAGCAAGTAACACAACAATATAAGTGTAATGAGCCATTCTCTATGCTATTCCCATGGTTTTAAAATGCAAAATATGTTGCTGCTGTTTTGAAGTATAATTGGTCTATTACTGTAAGATTTCAAAGGGGCTCTTGTGGAACTGCAAGTCAGATTTATAATGAACAGACATTCCTATAATATTCATCTAGGCCTATATTATTATTCAGTTAGTTGGCCATCAGCTATGTGGGTTATGTGCTTTATAAATCTGAGTTAGTTGAGCGCTCTTTCTTTTCAGTTTTTTCAGTCTTTCTGTTGTATCAAAAAAAAAAAAATTAAACAGCTTATTTCAAAACTATTTGAAAAAAAAAAAAAAAAAACCCGCGCAAGAAACTCGCCCGTCTCACCGTCTATCGCTATTTACACGCTGAGCCTTTCAGTGAGCTGACACTTACCTGCTGCACCGCTCCTGTCTTGTCTGCCGTGCGTCTCTCCCGGTTTGTCTCTGAGGTGGAGAGTTCACTGCCGGACTGGTGATAGCTGCAGGCTCCTCAGTCTAATAAGAGGAACTGAAGTACCCGCCCACAGCAGCCGAAAGCACGCAGAGGATGATGAGGATGATGATATGATGATGATGATGATGATGATGATGATGATGTGCCGTTCACTGAATTGTGAGGGATGTCTCATTGAGCAGGGATCAAGTTTTAGGAATATAGATGAAGAAAAGATGAGATGATGAATGGAGGATAATCACACTGCAAACTGATATTAATATGAAAATTACACAAGAACATTAAAACAACAATAACCAGCAAAGAATTGTGTGCAAAAAAGCCATTTTTTATATAATAACAACCAAAATGTGTGGTTTTACTTTTTTCATAGGAACAGAACCAACTCAACCACATGTCTGATTTGCAAGATGAAGAAAACTGAAGGTAAAACTGACACAGACTGTGAGCTCGGATTCTTCTCTTTTCTTTCACCACTTCTTCAGTTCCAAAGTTGAGTGGATCTTCAGTTGCAGGCTGCTCAGTGCAACATGTGTCCCATGGTCAGAAATGTGTTTTCAGCTGCAGTTTCCTCTAAGAGCCACTAGGTGCTGACACAAAGAAAACCGACATGATTAAAGGAATTGTTTGAACTTTTGGAAAACATTTGCTTTCTTGGCAAATCAGATGAGAAGATTGATAATGATCCCGTGTCTGTCTATAGATCAAAGCCTGTGCATATATCTGGCATGAACTTGACTGTAATGCATTCATTTCTCACTGGAATAACTGTTGAATAGCTCAGTTAAACTTCCACAGCATGTTGTATTAAGTATTTCTAACTCAGACACAGACTGCGTCAAAAAGAAATCACACATTTCATTTGAAACACATAAACAGGAGCAGTCGTTTGAGTTGCACTCCACGCCTTGTGACAAGATTGTTGATGTTGAACAATTCTGAAAATGACCAAGCTGACGTTTTTATCGCTCCCTACGACATGTGGTTGAAGTTAGGGAAAAGATTCTTGAACTAGGATTAAGGCATGGTTAAGTTTAGGCAACAAAAATGCACACTTAAGATAATAAAAGCAAGGACTCTGGTCTCCCATGTGCAGCTCAAACCTTTAGGCACTGAGCGTAAAGGCTTTAGACTCATCAAATGTGAACATAATTCCTGTGATACTGAGCTGCACAAAGCAGTGTTAATAAATTAGATTACTTTATTAATTAAAAATTGATTACTTTACTGAGTAAAAGTCAAGGCAGCTATTTTTCATTTCAGTTTATGCTCCAGATTTGAGGGGTTTCTTACACAAACACAATTTTTTATTCAACACTTCCCTGAAACAGAAACATAAACTTCATACAGGCTTCAGGTATTGGATTCTATCATTTAGTGTCTCACTCATTCAGCAGTGCTTTTTGCTGTTTTATTAATGACATTTTTAATTATTCTTAATTCCAATCATCCTTCCTGACATCTTGTCCACTGTTGTCCTGTGATACACTGGTTACTACTCATTACAGCACATGACTTGATCATTAAACCAAACATCCTGTCACTTTGTTTTAATGACCTACAAGTTGGATGTTTTTCAGTTCCAGGACAAGCACACACACACACACACACACACACACACACACACACACACACACACACACACACACACACACACACACACACACACACACACACACACACATCCACACACACACACACACACACACACAGCTTGTTGGAACTCACATGCATCCAGCACACAGACACATATGGTGTGTATGGATTTGCAGACACACAGCAAACACCGGGACACACAAACACACACTGTTACTCATAAACCCAAATGTTCAGACAATGTGTGAGTTAAGAGAACGTGGACACTGCCTGACTTGGTACTGACACAAGTGTCTGCATGACCATTGTTTTGTGTATGTATATATATATATATATATATATATATATATGTGTGTGTGTGTGTGTTTGCTAGTATACATGCAACTTTACATTTACATCTGCATGTTATTGGGTTGCAACATGTATGCATGCAAAAATATTATCTTTCTTAGTGTGTGTGTGTGTGTGTGTGTGTGTGTGTGTGTGTGTGTGTGTGTATTAACCATGAACACCTTATTACCCATTACAGAGTCAGGGGTGTAATGGGTAATAGGGTGTCACTGTGTGTTTCTGCACAAACACCATGATTTTGCACTTTTAATAAACTTTAAGCCATGAACTGAACGAAGCTGAGGTGGAGGGGCTGTGAGCAGAACATCACGATGACTTCTGTTTTTCCACACGACGAAATTAGATTTCTCACTATGATTTGAGATTGATTTTAAAACACAGAACTGTGGATAATTGATCAATGTTGTAAAAAATTGAAAAAATACAACAATTCCTAACCCTAACTCTTGCTGGAGGAGATTTGTTTCTGGGATGTTTTTCACTCTCCATTCAGGTCGAATGTAAGTTTACTTTAGCATAAAAACTAATTGGAAGAAGCGGCCACAAGCTAATTTTTTGCAGCAAACAGTTGTTGTACAGTATTTCCAGCAGGTGCACTGACGTTAATGTGTTTCCAAGAGGGCAACAATGAAGCCATCTTTACACTTTCAAAGTTGACGTTCAGGCTTTCTGTTGAACGTTTAAGCAATTACTCCGGAGAAGGTGTTCTTAGGTATGTATGTGTTACTGACCGTGATAATTAGTCTGGTGCCCAAGGGACCTCAGATCTCCAGGGCCTCGATTCTTGAAATACATTGCTGCTGTTGCTGTGGTTCGCCACCAGATGACGCTGAAAGGCAGAGGTCCTGCCACTGTAGGAGGACAATACAATGAGACATTTTACTGGCCCCCAGGGGAAATCCCAGCTCCATACAGCGGCATAATAGTAGAACACATCAAAGAATATAAACATGAATATAAATTTGAAATATAACTTCCTGTATAACCCTCCTCTGAACTGTGAAATCACATGCAAAAATGCTGGACTGCAAGGTGTGCAACAACAAAAATATATATATTTTAATGTGGAGTTATTTGCTGTAACAGTGACAGTTTACCTTTAATCAGATGAATGAACCAAAATCTGCATTCATTTACTTTCTTTGGTTTAATGATGAGATGATTCATATCTTACAGATCAGATCAAAATAAAGGATTAATTTATGTCCTTCAGTTTATGCTTCCAGTGGCAGTGACAACACTCTCATGCTGAGGTCAGGGTAATATTATATATGTTGGTATAATTTAATGTGGGTGGACAAACCAAAGGTAGTACCAACTGTAACCATGCTGTTGTTGTAGTGAGGTAAAGGTTTATTTGTATTGTCTCCCATTCAAGAGGTATTAATTACCTGGTATACAGAAGAAGTATAGTTGCATGTGCTGCCAGGGCGAAATATATCTTAATGAGATTGTGTAACGATATCTGTGTTGTTTTGCAGACACTGGAGCCACCCTTCAGCTGGCAGCAATCAAAGGCCTGTAGGGAAAAAAATGTCCAAAGTAATTGAAATTAATCATTTCACGATTGAATGTTTCTAACTGTGCAATAATTAAGTTCATTAGTGGAAATGTCTTACCTCTTCCGTCATGTCTCCCCTCTGCAGAAACAGCCTCTGTGAAGTCTGAACACAAAGATTAGCGAGGGGTGGGTTGTTGACTTTAATCTGAAGGTCATATTGTTCATTTTTCTATGTATTATGTACACTAACTAACTAATGCAACCACTTCCTGTTTGGTAATGGAAAAATCTATATGTATTAGCCGTCTGTGTGTGCTGGTTTAACATCAGGTCAGTGCACACCCCTCTGTCCTGTGGTGCGGTTGAGGTGATTACCGATGACAGGCGATAAAATGCTGCTAATTTTTCCACCAAACGCAGTATTTATATATAAATATACACAAAAATCTAATAAAAAAACTGTATCAAGTCAAAGCATATGGCACACAAACATAAATTTTGCTCATTGCTAATCAGTGGATATCAGCTTCACCTGGCTTTCATTATAACAAATATTTCATCACAAACATTTTCACCTCACACAATCAAAAGGACATTGTAGTCCAGAGGGATGCTGTTTAAATATGCTAATCAGAAGAAAACTCAATGAAAACTAGGGTCTAATAAGTATTCAGGCTTATAACTGAGCCTCCACTGAGCCCCTTAGCTACCCCCAAAAAACACTGGAAATGTCTTCACAGTCACCACATCTCAACTCAGCTGAACATCTATGTGTGATTTTGGAACGTCGTGTTCGATGGCAACCCTCAGACCAGCTATCAAAGCCCCAAATGAGGGAATATCTCTTGGAGGAATGGCGTTCATAGCTCCAGCAAAAGGATCCAGACACCTGGGGAATCTATGCCTAGAAGCAGTGAAGCTGCTCTGATCTAAATAAGGCACTTTTTTTTTTATACTATCATTTGTCTCCCAGCTGCACATGCGCAGACGAGTTATTGAGTGATGTTATGTGATGTTACAAGTCTTAGACTGTAGATGGCGCCACGCTTATTCTGAACAAACAGCAACATTACTCTGGTGGTTTTATTTATCTGAAGTGACTCTGCCCTTAAACAGTTTCACATCATTCACTGTGATAATAAAACAGCCCTACAGTATTATAGCAATGCAAATATTTGGATATGAGATAGATTGGAAAAAAGAAAAAGATCCATTTTAGAGCAGATTCAGATCAAATATCAAATCCAGCCTCTGTCATTTCTTCATCTCTGGTTCCTGCATCCTTTCTCTAAACTGTTTTCTGCTTCCCCACTTTTCTTCAAACTTAAAATCTCTCCTCACAAAGAGTAAGAAAGAGAAGCGAGACTCTTTTCTTTACCCGTCAAATTTTAAATGGAACATTTTTGGTGGTGAAATACCGACTTGAAATTTCAAAAACCCACACTGTCAATCAAATACACACAAACGGGTATCCCTGCTGCGGGAAGCCAAAACATTAGATAAAAGACATTTTTCCCAGACTATATTTAATCTCATCCCTCAGCATCTCTGCGAGTCGCACGACA